TGTATAATATATGTGTATAATACATACATGTGCAGTGTCTATGTATTCCTTTAGCTAGAATTTTTTTACAGGATCAATAAATAATTTTTGCTTTGTAGTCACAGTAGTCTATTTACATATACCTCATGTATCATTATTGTAATAAAATAATTCTTTCTATACCAATTGACATCTCTAATTACTTTCAAAATGATGCTTCTGGAATTCTGAAATGCATTGCAGGAGCAAGGTGTATGTTAAAAAGTTTTACATTAATACATTCATGGATTCCTTTCTACAACTGGATTATTCTGACATATTCACAACAAATGAGGTCATATTTAGTGGCAAGTATTTTTGTAATGAGATAGTAATAAAAGTAAAAATAAACAAGCAAACAAAAAAAGTTACAGTAACACACATGTTCAAATGAGACCCAATACGCATTTGTAATGTAGAATGTAAATGAGAGCAATGCGACTATATCTATTTTAATATCAATTTCGGTTTGAATCTGGAATAAGTGAAAATTAAAACAATCAATCTTGTTTTCAACAATACATACAATAAACACTACAAAGACTTTCAAGAAAAAAAAAGATAAAGTATGCAAACATGTAGAAATGCCTAAATAATCAACAATAAAGAACTGTCAAATTATTAGAGCTATAATACTGGAACATACATACCACATGCATTATTATTAGGAATGGAATGATCACACAAGCAATAGCATAAATCCACTTGAAAATAAAATATTGAAAGAGTTTTATTTGCAAAGAAACAAACACATCGATGTACAAATACACTTTTACTGAACCTATTCTATAGTATAAAATAAACAAATAAAAAAAAAAAAAAAGACAAGAGGTTTTAGTTCAAGATGTATGCAAAGTATAGATTACATTCTAATGTGTAACAATGTGGGTGTGAAGTATGACTTAATAGATACAATTACATCATGGATATTGACTTACCAAAAACTCCCCTCAGGTGATCAAAACAGAAGAATACCCAAATAGTCCATTTTCCTGTCCCAGTCATTGTCAGACATCAATAGAATCCTTATTTTTTGGTTTTATGAAATAGTGGGCAATAGAAAAATAAATGCTGATTCCTTTAGAACGCCAGGCTTTTTTTTTTTTTAGAACACCCAATACTGTGATACTAACCCTCTACTGTAATCAACATCCATGCAACTGCTGAGATAGAAAAGGCACATTGCAATAATGTTTCTGAGGATAACAAGTGTAAAATAATTTTTCCCTACCATGCATGAGCTAGTGAAACCAGCTGTGACTGCCTTCTGCTAAATTCATTATGTGTCAATAAATGCAGGAGGGTGATGGGGGATGGGATGGATGCAATGCTATTAGATTATTCTATGGTAGCTGCAGAGGCACATTTTTCACACTAGCTTTAAATCTTTTTTGAAACCAAGGATGAATGCGATTCAAGGTTGATGAGCTATACAAGGTGCAGAAAAAAAAAAATACGCTGTACAGCTTAATCCTTTACACTGCAAAGGGAAGGAGTGAGCACCTATTATGACTAATATGATGTGACGTCACTTCAAAGAGCATAAAAATGTCATTTATACATTGTGTTAGTCAAAGGGCCAGCAAATGTAGAAATGATGAGTTATTCTCTATTTTACGTTGAATGATATTCTTGGGCTCTACTGCTATGCTGAGACTAGGACAAATTTGTTTCGTCCGAAAATGAACACTGTAGCATAAGGAATACAAACCTTAACGTGATAGTGCTCTAGTTGCGGTTTGGTATTAGCCCCCTGTTTCCAAGAAAAAAATGAAATGATTCCCTTTTTTGCCTCCCTCTGCATTGTCATCAAACTGTTGTGCATGCGCAGCAAGTGCTTTGTGCGTACAAATGCTTCTCATAGGAAAGTATTGAATTTAATGCTTCATTATGAGTTGCAACGTCACCCGACAGAGTTTGACTTGGACAGTGCCGAGGAATACAGCCACTAGCACTGTGTTTAACCCTGAAATTATTTACATTGCAGGGTTAAAATGACAGGACCACCGTACCCAGACCAGTTTATTGAGATGAAGTGGTCCGAATGACTTTAGTGGTCCTTTGATTTACACCCGAACTAATTACTTTGCCTGGGATTCATCTGTGGAGACTAATTTAATGGATGGGTCGACTCATATGGGCACAGAGTAAAATACATTTGATTTGTGTATACCAGCTGAAACACATTTGTGCACGTCTAATAAAAACGGCATCTAAATGTGACCTGCACAGATAGATGAGCTGTCCATAGCCTCCCATATTGAATGTTTGTATCCCTGCACATTGGGAATTGTGGTATACTTACCAACAGCATCATTTGGGAGAGGTGCAGTTACATTTGTGGTTACTCCTTTCAAGGGATACTATAAGTGCCAGGAATACAGCTTTTTATATATCTATCTATAGCTCGCTCTGCCTCCCCCCTTACCCAAGTACCAATGTCTCTTGGCGCTGAGTCGCGGCTCCGCCTCCTCCAGTGACGAACGGACGCTAATGCGCATGCCAGACAGCCACTGGAGGCAGACTTAGTTCTGCACTATTTTACATTGCAGCACTAAGTGCATTAGGGACACTGCACCCAGACCACTTCAATGAGTCTCCACTCCTTCAAAAAATTGTTAAAAACCCACTTCTTCATAAAAGCATATCAATTAAACTGTTAATAGCTCCTGACTGATTCCTCTTCTGCAACTGTCACTAGTCTAATACTATCCTTACCTTTTTGTGTCATTTTACCCCACTCCCTCTAGCATATAAGCTCATTGAGCAGGGCCCTCAACCCCTCTGTTCCTGTGTGTCCAACTTGTCTGGTTACAACTACATGTCTGTTCGTCCACCCATTGTAAAGCACTGCGGAATTTGATGGCGCTTTATAAATAACATAATAATAATAATAATGAGCCGAAGTGGTCTGGGTGCATATAGGGTCCCTTTAAGTCTCGAATGGTATGCCGTGTTTTGAAGGGAGCAATATTCAGGCACGTATATATTTTAAGTAACACTCTTGCTGATGTGTTTTTACAAGCTCATTGTGTACCTGAATGTGATCCTCTGATTCACACGAGCTGTGCATGACAGGTTAACTTTAAAGGGAAAGTCTAAGCATCAAAACAACTGTAGCTTCATTAAGTGTTTTTGATGTTTAAAGAATGCACTGCAGTTGCACTGCTCAATTCACTGCCATTTAGGAGTTTGTATTTTGTTTCTGCTTGGAAAGCAGTGAAATCACTGCTGTTCAGGCTGGACAAAATTTATAATGTGGTTGCGTCAAGGCAGGCAGCAGTTTATAAGAGTCAGGGAGAGAGCCCTGGTTTCTGTCAAACTGCTTTAACACAGTTTGGTAATAAATTGGGGATGGTGTCCAGAGACTCTTGGCAGTTTAAACACTACACTTGTGGCTATGTTGCTAAGAATGTCCGTTTAAAGGGATACTCTAGTGTATTTCTTGCACTTTAGCTCCCCATGCCTCCCCACTCCCTCGCGCCCCCTCACCGGTAAATAAAGGGTTAAACCCCTTTATTTACTTAACTTATCCTCAGAAGCTCCTCATCCTCCTCTGTCCTGCAATGAATGGGCTCTAATGCTCGTGCGCAGTGAATAATTACCATTGCAGGATTAAACTGACAGGGACAGTGCACTCAGACAACTTCAATGAGCTGAAATGGTGTGGGTGCCTCTAGTGTTCATTTAATCCTTGCGCTCAAACTCCCACTACTCCCGGGCGACAGCAATGACTATAATACACATCAACCCCTATACATACAATTTAAAAAAAAAACTAAGAAAATAGTTAACTGTGCACTATCCCAAATTCCTATGCACATTTAAATAACTAGCGTTATTTAATAACGTGGCAGGTGAGCTTACACTCAAGTGGCTACCTGAGTGATACTAAAAACCTCCAGTTATTTAAATGTACATAGGGATTTTGGATAGTGTGCAAGTAACTATTTTCTTTAGTTTTTACCATAGTGTCAGCGTATGATGTCACTTTAAAGTGTCCCTCTTTGTCCATTTGAAGTGTTGAGAGGTAAGCACTAAGGAAAGTTTAAGGTTTGGAGCAGCAGCACGTACATTTAGTAAATAACCTTAGAAGCATTGGCTAGTACAGTTTCAAATGTCCATCATGCTCTTAATGTGAGCATGTGTATTATTATTATTCATAAAGCGCCAACAAATTCCATAGCGAAGTACAATAGCTGGACAAACAGACAAGTATTCGCAAGTATCCGCATCAAGACGAGCTGGACACAAAGGAACAGGGTTGAGGGTTCTGCTCAAAAGAGCTTACATTCTAGAGGGAGTAGGGCAAAGTGGCACAAACACCCTTCGTTGCCCGGGTACCTACATTTCAGTGTCTTCCATCTCTTTATAGTTTTATGTGAACAAAGTCTGCACTGCAGGAAGTTCACACTGATCTGTTGGTATGTCAACCACACAAAATAAAATACTATATACTTAATGCAATATGGTTGGAACATGCATATGAAGGGTCCAACATGCCAATTCCTCGTTAGTATAGTGGTAAGTATCCCCGCCTGTCACGCGGGAGACCGGGGTTCGATTCCCCGACGGGGAGGCAATTTTTATTTAAAAAAAAATAAGAACGATTTTTATATGTATGCTATATGTATTTAGTGTAGTATGTTGACTATAATCTAAAACCAAAAAAGGATCGTCACTTCAGTACCTTAGCCTATGAAAAAATATATAATATTAATCACAGAGTTTAACACTAGTGAGTGCCTCCCTCACACCACAAATGGCAGAAACGTAGTGTAGACAAAATAAAGCCAATTCAGGACGCTAGTCACTGTATTAAAATGAATGTTCTGCAAATTAACAGTAAAGTGCAAAAATAGCAAACTACACACTAAAAATATGTGTATAAATGCCAGTATCAATATAAAATTCACTTTTTCAGTGTACACATGTTGAAAACTAGTATTTTACATGCAAATCTGTGCAACACACAGGAAACTCATACATTTTCTTTTAAATATTTTGTTTAAAATATTTCTTACAAAATATCCTCAAAAATATAACATAAAAGTGCTATGTTACAATACTTTACCAGAAAAGATTAGAACCTCCAAGACAAGAAAAATAATATACACTAGTGCAGATTCTATAGCACATATATTTCTATGAGTACACCATAAACATCCCCATTTTAGGTGAGCACTCACATGAGACAGAGCCCTATAATTGGCTCTACTGATTGCCTTACAGCCATTGTCGGGAGACTCCGAACCCCTTGGGATGGTAACGATTTAGGAATATCAGAAATAAAAAAAAGAGGGAAGACATATAGTGCAATGTGTTGGGTAATGGTTTAAACTTTTAAAACATGATTTAAACTACTACGCTTTTGGTTTTATAATCTAAAACTGACAATGACTGGGACAGGAAAATAGACTATACAGTTGCTTGGTAGTATTTGGTAAGTGAGCTAACCGGCCATATCATGTAAATTGTACACCATACATGGTGTAATTTTATTTTTTAAGTCACACTGAAGATTAACATTGCCACGCATTAGAATGCAACATAAATCCTGAAATAAAGCATGTTTTTAGTTTTTAAATGCATTTACATACAGTATATATGAATAATAAAGCCTTCACAAAAGGTTATATTTCAAAGTACACCTGTTTCACGCACAATTTGGACACTATGTTATAAGTTGGCCGGTTAGCTCAGTTGGTTAGAGCGTGGTGCTAATAACGCCAAGGTCGCGGGTTCGATCCCCGTACGGGCCAATATTTTTTTTTGTTTTTTGGTATCCCTTCCTTAAAAGATTTGAAGAAAGAAATCTACCACCTTTTATTTCATATTTATCATTTTATAGTCGGATTTATGTAATAAACCTATTTCATTGCTTGGTTGAATAGCTAATCCTCGTTAGTATAGTGGTAAGTATCCCCGCCTGTCACGCGGGAGACCGGGGTTCGATTCCCCGACGGGGAGGCATAAGATTTTGGTCTCCAATATTTTTTCCCCCCCCTCCCCTTTACCAGCGCTTGTAATGTGGGAACAAACTCAAAATAAAACTTCAAATTTTTCAATGTACATGTATATATTTGCCAATGATAGTATACAAGTTTCACCCACGTACATTCATGCCAATCCTCGTTAGTATAGTGGTAAGTATCCCCGCCTGTCACGCGGGAGACCGGGGTTCGATTCCCCGACGGGGAGGATATATTTTTATTTTCTGGTTGACAGCAAAATAACTTTTGGTCTCCATTTTATGTAAGTATCATTCTTATGTTTAGTAGGAGGAATACTTACATGCAAGAAAACACACTTTTTCAATAGACATGTATACATGTACTTTTCCATCTATCTTTAACAACAAGAATTAACTGGCCGGTTAGCTCAGTTGGTTAGAGCGTGGTGCTAATAACGCCAAGGTCGCGGGTTCGATCCCCGTACGGGCCACTTTCTTTTTTTATTGCTGCTTCTTATTAATAGTCTTTTAATCAGTTTAAAAAGATCCTTTAGTGCCAGGAGAACAAATCCGTTTTCCTGGCATTATAGGCTCTTGGAGTGCCCCTTCCCTTCAGTCACTTAACTTAAAGGACCACTATAGGCACCCAGACCACTTCAGCTTAATGAAGTGGTCTGGGTGCCAGGTCCAGCTAGGGCTAACCCTTTTTTAAATAAACATAGCAGTTTCAGAGAAACTGCTATGTTTATGTTAGGGTTAATCCAGCCTCTAGTGGCTGTCTCTTGACAGCCGCTAGAGGCACTTAAGTGCTTCTCACTGTGAAAATCACAGTGAGAAGACGCCAGCGTCCATAGGAAAGCATTCAGAATGCTTTCCTATGGACTGGCTGAATGCGCGGGCAGCTCCTGCCGTGCATGCGCATTCAGCCGAAGAGGAGGAGGAGAGGAAGGAGAGCTCCCCGCACAGCGCTGGAAAAAGAGGTAAGTTTAACCCCTTCCTCTCCATCCAGCCCGGCGGGAGGGGGACCCTGAGGGTGGGGGCACCCTCAGGGAACTATAGTGCCAGGAAAACGAGTATGTTTTCCTGGCACTATAGTGGTCCTTTAATTCAGCGCCGTCTCCCTGCACTGGTGAGCTCTTCTCCCCGTCGATGTCAGCTCCCGAGTGGAGCCGAATGCGCATGCGCAGCCAGTGCATTTAAACCCGCCCATAGGAAATCATTACTGAATGCTTTCCTATAGGGATCTTATTTGATACTGGACTCCGTGAGGTCATCCAGCGTCAAATAAGTGCGATTTACTCAGTGTAAATAGCGGAAGCGGCCTCTAGTGGCTGTCACTAGAGGCTGGATTAACCCTGCAGTGTAAACATAGTAGTTTCTGCAGGGTAAAACTAGGGTGCCCTGGCACCCAGACCACTTCATTGAGCTGAAGTGGTCTGGGTGCCTGTAGTGGCCCTTTAAACTTTATGATAAGGATTCAAAACACCCATCCAATTTATGTTCTCATGCTCATGGCTTAGAAAAGGAATTTCCTAGGGAGTTTACATTTTTTTCAAGGGAAGTGAAAGTGCAGTGCATCTACACTCAGAGCCCACAAACAGCTCATCATGCAGATCACTGCTGACAAGAAGGGGGTGTCGCGGGGATATGGTGTGATCACACAAGGCAGCAGCTAGAGGGCGATGCCAAGCTTTGCCAATCTAAAGATGGCTGTTGCATTACTGGTTGGCGCCGAGTAATGATGTCACCAGTACCCACTACAGCTTGTTTACTGGTGACAAAGAAGGTCAAAGACTTCAGGACAAAGGTGGAAAGTGCAATTAACTGTGAGAAAGGTAATGGGAATAAAGTCTCGCTTCTTATCTTTTCCTAGGGTGATGTATTATCAGCTAATTGTTGGAAACATGAAATGCAATAACAGAAATAAAAGGTGTATCTATTATTTCAGGATAGATTATTGTTATATTATAGAGCTATTGTGATTTTGTATTGATGGGAAATGTCCAGTAAGTTAGATGGGACTAATGAACACTGGCAAAACTTTGACACTTAAATCACTGGAGCATGATGGGAAATGTAGTCCACTTGTTACTGCAGTCCAGAGAGGTTAGTGTACCCAGTGTGGAGATGTAAGGTGGCTTTCTTCTCTCTGCAGGAGCAGCCCATGGAGCAGACCAGTCACCAGGAAGGAGTGGAGATGGTAAGGATGCTATGGATACAGATTCCACTTGATATTCTCTTAGAATGTTCTGTATAAAGAAGGACAGAGACAGTGTTAGTGCTGTATAGGGCTGATTTTTTTCACAGAACATGCTTAGCATGAAAAAATAAAAATTACAAGCATTAATAGATGTGTTGAGCATACAAGATAGTCTGTAAGGTACCAGGCACTCATCAGATCATATTAATCACTTATTTATTCCTTTATAGTTGAGCATTCTTGGTCACAGTGGAGAGAACAATTTACTTTTCAGTACATTTAACCACTTAAAGACCAGGAGCAAAACTGTTGAAAAGTTTTGTTTTGCTTTTTTTGTAACAACTTTAGTGACTTCTCATGTAACTGGAAAAGTAATTCAGGACAAGACAGACGTGTTTTATTTACACAAGTTGACTTCTGAATAACTTTTCTGCATTTTAAACAAAGATTACTGAGCTTTATTGATGTAGAGCTCTTCACACCAACCATTACTAATCATTAACTCATTAGATAATTATTACAATTGTATTATTATGATGATAATCATCATTATTATTATTATTATTGTAGTCTCAAACTACCCAGACAGTCTGTTTGGCCATTTATTACTTATATTGAATTTTTATTTTTCACACCTCACAAACACATCTTTGTGAAATACAGGATCAAGGAAACATAAGATTATAATACCTAGGATACTGATAAATCTAATTTAAACTGCAATGTTTCATGTTTCAGGCAGGATATTTAAAGGAACACTCCAAGCATCATCACTACTACAGTGCACAGTGGTTATAGTGCCAGGAGTGAGCATTGTAAGTAGTCAGACTATATTAGACTGATTTGACTTCTTACCTGAGGTTCACTGGTCATCTCTCCCTATCTTCTCTCTGTTGCCCAGAGAGCCAGAAAATCATGCAGTGCAGAGTCAGCTCATTGGCTGAGGGCGTAAGCTGATCAGACTAAGCCTTGCACTGCTGGACAGCGATCTCCCTGGTTAAATAGGATCCAAGGAGAAAGCACACACAGGTCACATGATTAGTTAATGGACAATAAAAGAAGATTATCTAAATATAAAAAAAAAACTATAAATAAAAGCCACTGGAAAAAAAGAATACCATACCATAACCAGGTAGCTATACAGTCTACAATTGGTTCTTTAATATTTTGGTTTATTCTGATATATAAGGGGCACTGTTAAACCAAAGACGATTGGCACATTGAGTCTCAGGCTAATAATTAAACAATATACTGTGAACAATCAAAAAAAAACAAAACATGAGAAACTGATTAAAAATCTGTATTCCGGGAGGCATTCTATCATAAAACAGAGAAATAAAGCAAAAACGCCAATATTAATCTGCCTCAAATTCATAACTTCCGTACAGAATGCTGGAGATTTTTCTTATTTTATTGGAGCTACTGAGAAAGTTCAAAATGAAAAGACGAGCAACTAAAAATGTTAGATCAATAACATTAAGTTGACTTAAATGGCGTGACTGTGATAAGCATTAGACAAACAATAGTGAATTGGTGTTTCCATTCCTTTCTAAATTTTATTTTCTTCCTCAGGATAATATCTTCGGCAGTTCTATCCAAGCGGCTGGGCTCTTTGTGATTGGAATCAGCATTATCTTATTAATCCTGTATGTGTTACAAGGGAGGCAATTGGGTGAGTCCTTGTGCTGCTTTACATCTGCTGCCTACTCCATTACATTCACAGTGCCAAAGAAATTGTGATAACTTGCATTATTTTCTACTTTATTATTGTTATCCAACTTTATAATTATACATCCTCACTGTAGGGTTATATCCAGTTTTAGTAGGGAAGCGTCACTTAACAGTAATAGCTAGTAATGATGCCAGAACAATCCAAAACTGGTTGAATAGACTATGTGAGATATGTCTTTAACCTACTCGAGTAGAAGGTAGCACAACTGTACAGACCATTCATCTGACTTTGACTTCCAGGAAAGTGCATGCCTTTAACATTATGGATCGCCACCAGATGGACACTTTATGTTGGTCCCCAGATTACTGCTATGATTTAATCACCCTGTGCCCATTATAGGTAAAAGGTGTGTAATGTATTTGTTTGTTGTTATTCTCCTCCTCCCCTTTTCCATGTTGTTTTCCCAGAAGGGTGTATAGTATTATATGTGTTTTTAGGTGTTTTCTTGTACTATGGGAGATAATTGTGTTAGCGTATCTGTGTGTATAAAAGGTAAAACAGAAGGGAAGATTATTAGTTTATTATACAATAGCTATTGTACTAAGTATCTTGGTGTCAGGCAGGTAATTTAATTATGGACTCAACCTAATTCTGTCTTAGACACCAAGACTCCAAGGATTGTATTGTTTTGTTTGATGATCCCCTGTTGTGATTACTCCTATACAAAACCTGTGGTTCAGTTAAAAAAAACAGTTCTACTTCACCCTTCACTAATTCTAGGCTAGTGTTTGGGTGAGACAGCTATACACTCTGCAGAAGAGAGTGATCACTTGGTTCTGTAGCACAGGACCCTGTTCCAGGGTGGGAAACTCCGGATAGAATCCAATCAAGCTGTGGCAACTAGCAGCTGAAATGCTAAATGTGTCCTGGTTAAAGCTAGAAAGTGTGCTTGGCGGAGGTACCCAGCCAGGGTACCAGGTGGTCCATCACACACATTACTTTCAGTATTATTGCTATGGAGCTCTGTTATACACTCGGATACAGAAACAATATAGAGCTCCTTGAAAGGAGGAACATTATGATAGAAATGAGCCACAATTGGATTTGGGTCTAAAATAGGAATAGTCCATCTCTAACAGGGACACTTGGAATGTAGCCGTATATATATTGCACTATCTCCAAGGCAATCCCAAAACAGAACATTCCTTTTACGTCTACAGCATTTATATAAAATATTCAAAAATATTACAAAATACAAACATCCATTGCACATACACTTGAATGCATGTTAAACAGAATAATTAAACAGAGCCATCTTGCTCCTATTCCCAAGAATGCCCTAACCTAGTGGTTTCCAAACCAGTCCTTAAGGCACTCATACCAGTCCAGGATTTAGGGATATTCCTGGACTGGTAGACGTGCCTTGAGGACTAGTTTGGAAACTACTGCTCTAAAATAAACATTGTGTTCATTTTTGATGTCTCATATATCATGGTTGTTAACATAATTGCTTGCTTAGTATTTCACCACTACTTGCATTTTAACACACTTGTCATGTCATTATTGCCCACAGAGTCACCATTATCTGATTCACAGAGGCTGCAGGCTCAGAAGATCCCTCCAAAGGTGACTGTGTATCAATGGGCTCAGTCAGAGTTATGAATTGTCAGGAATTGAATTTAAAGTGAATTTTAATTGCCAGGACAAAATAAACAAACAGAAAAAAAAAGAAAAAAGAAAGAAAATGCAAAGAATGCAGGCTACACAAGGGTTGCTACACAAAACTTAAACAATTTATTGTCAAATGAGATACAATGCATAGCGTTTTTGCTTAGTGACCTTAATCAAGTACATAGGGAGTATGGGTCCCCCTGCTGGACAGAAGGAGCAGTTACTTTCATATTTTCAGATAATTTCTGTGTGCAGCTATCTCTCTAGCTATGTTTTATCCCACCCCCCCGCCCCCCCAAAAAGCGCTAAATTTTTTTCCGTTCACCTTTTTTGGCTTTTAATTAATTATTTTTCATTCTCTAAAATTCACACTTACAGGATTATTTACTAAACGCTCAATTTTTTCAAATTCAATCCACATGTTAAAACCGAGGCAAAGTGTTGACTATGGCTAAGATGGGAATTTATTTCATATCCGCTATTTTTGATTCAATGTTTCCATTCGGTTAGCGATGATAGTTATATGCACACATTTCTGTCAATGCAACACATGTAACTATATATCAGCTGTGTTCTAGTCTTTCCTGTGCCTATCAAGTAGATATGTGTGACATGCTAACTGGCATGTATACTTCCTGAATACGCATATAGTTGTCTGCAATGTGTTGACAGCTGCAGGTTTATGTAGCAGATGGCTCAGTTTGCCTTGTTGACAGATACCCAACAACAAAGCTGTTTGTTGAATGTATGTAATGTTAATTAATAAGACATGTCTCTCTGCTATGGTTTATGGACGTTTGTGTATACATGTTCCATATGGACATCGTTATATGTGTTTTACACTGTGCATGAGTGTCTATTTTAAGTGTTTTCTGCAGTTATCCTAAAATCATTGTGTGCATGAAAGGTTACTCTGATTTCTTAATATTCACAGGTTACATTGGTAAACTTGGGAATTGTGTATTTGCTCTGCTGCTATACTGCGATTTCCGATCAATAGATTGTAATTAATTATTTGTCTTGTCTGCCTCCCCCCCATTTTAAGAAGTTAATCGGTTTAAGAAAGGTTTTACTTCTTAACTGGTTTTCTTCTGGCAGCTGCTTCCTACATGCACTACGTCCACCAGAGAGCCACTGGCGGTGGTGGAAGTAGTGAAGGTGGGAAGTGAATAAACATTCAAATATAAATACATTTAGAATAAAAGAAAATATCTAGCCTTTTCTAAAGATATGGGAATAATGTGCCATTGTGTTTTTTTTTTCTCCATGGCAGGTTCACTTTAAAGGAACTCGTATTGGTAAAGAGGTAAGCTCTGTAACAAATATTCAATGTTCTTCTTCTTTTCCAGCGGCACATATTGCTAATCATATTGTGGTTAAAGAAACACTATGGTCTTAATGCAAAGCTGTACTCCTAACACAATAGTGTCCTGTGCCTCCTCCTTCAGTGCTCTCGCGGCCATGTAAAAAATAAAATAAAACCTTTAAACAGTTACCTGATTCCAGAGCCAATGTTCCTTAGCAGACAGGGACAGTGCAACCAGTGACAGGGAACAGGGACCGTGCACCCAGACCACTTTAATGAGATGAACTGGCCTGGGTGCCTATAGTCTCTACTACAATAAATGTTTTTAGAAATCAGTCTGTGTAAATAAGATACATTGTTCTTGTTCTAAATGACATTTTAATTGCATAAATTGTTTTAAGTAAGTCACCTAAAATTTCTCAGAACAGCCCTGCCCCTAGCCACACCCCTAACATTAAAGTGTCTCTCTGTCCATTTGAAATATTGGAGGGTATGTTTTGAGGGGATGAATCATTTGCCTCCCTCACCATCCATCCATCCCTCACCATCCAGTTGTAGAAAATTGAAATCCGAATATGCAAAATTGGGGCCAAATCAGCTAAACTGTGACTACAAATGAATTGAAGCCATTTTGTTGTATATTGAATACCCTCCATATTGTTTATAGAAGGAAGGGTGAACTAACTTGGCTAGACCTAGGGTACTAGAACAACATTAATGACATAATGTGCAGATGGTCTTATATAGGACTGACTTATCCAGTGTGTATATGCTAATGCAATTATGGGTTTACATATGTCCTCAGATGATAATTTATATGGGCACTTGGGTATAATTTTAGATATGTCTGAAACGTATCCAGTAAAAGGAATATGCCAAGCACCATAATCTCTACAGCATGCTGTAGTGGTTTTGGTGCCAGGAGTGCCCTGGTGCCCCCCATTGAAAGTAGGTAAACCATTAGAATGACTTAACGTCTGAGCTGGGGTCTGCTCCTTCCTCTACTACCTGAGTCAGAGATTCAGAAGCTCTCTGCAGAAGTCTCTAAATGAAAAGCGTCTGCCTCTCTGGCTGGAGTAGAGGAGTAGGCTAGCAGCTCCCAGCAGACCCCAGGTAAGGAGACAAACTGATCTTACTACCATTAAAATATTTACAATAAGACACCATAATCAGTATAGTGGTAATGGTGCTTGAAATGTTCCTTTAATATACTCATTCAATTAGGACCATAAAAACCTTCAGCTCCAGTCCATTGAGGCCCTTAATCTGGCTCTGCTTGAAGTGCCAAAGTTAGCCTTGGTACTGTATATATTAATTTGTGTTGTGATTAACAGCTGGAGGTGCCCATATGTGCTATATGTCCATTGAACATAGGAGTGGCCTATCTTTTCTTCAGACTCATTAAACATAGACCATATAAGCTCCATAGTCAAAGGAGGGATTTCTTGTGCTAGCTTGCTACTGTAGCAGAATTCTCTATGGCTCAGCCAGCTTGGGAAAATGACTGCTCTGTTTGAATGCTGTTTGTGGCACTGAGTGCTTTGCTGGCTGCTGTTCACATGTTGTATGTGGGGCACTTGCTGTGTCACTGGGATCACTGTCTCTCTATTTGTTTCCAGCTGAAGAAGAAGCGGAAAGTCTTGTGTGTTAAAAAGAGGTAAGCATGGTTTGGAGTCAGGTGCATGGGTACTGAATTATCGATTAGACCGTGATATTAATTGTGAACACTGGTTACCAGGATTCGGAGAAGCCAGGTGGAATCGCCTCCCATACATCACACCGACTGTTCTCCATCTCCACTGCGTAGCCCTCCAGCAGAGCCGATGACCCCAGCATTGCCCCCTGAGGTGCTATACATGATGAAGAGTGTTAGGTAAGGCTTGTTTTCTACAAAAAGATTGAATAAATATATAAATAGAAATCCACATACTTCCACCTGGAATTCAAGTGTAAGCAGAATTCGTTTTTGTATGGAATTTTGGGGAATATTGTTTGAAAGTGGCAGTACCAAGGTTTGATATTTCTGTGTTAAACCCTATATGTATTGTCAGAGGAAGAGGGAGGTTGCCAGCAAAGCAGATAGGGCAGGGGCGCAAAAGGGAGTATAATTAGAGAGAAGGGGGCCATGTTATAGAGGACCAGGAAGATGGAGATTACCAATAACATATAGATGTGTTAATATATTTGTAAATTTATGTATATATGTGTGTATTTTTATCTATAGGTATCCAACATGCAAACTTACATATATACATACATTTATACAGACATAACATACATACAGAAATGTGATTTTTATAATAATATTTTTGAGGTCCACCCAGCCTTCCATGTCTTATTGCCAGTGAGAATTGGGAGGGAACCTCATTGTTTGGGTCCATTGGGTAGCTGAGATTAATCATTGCACTTGTTGCATAGATGGGCTGCTCTGTCACTCATGCATTCTGCATTGCTCTGTATTGTATGAAGAGCTGGAGCTGCTCAAAATATCTGTGCAGCGGCTGCATTGAGTGATCCCTTGTTGTCGAAGCTGAAGCAGAGCTGTGTGAGGTGAGTGCTCAAAGTGTGTCGCTACACCAACATAGCAATGTCAGGCTAGTAAACGGAGATGTCAGATCTTCTTAACTAACCTGTGTCTCCGCTCGCTCAGCCTCCAGACTGGCCCAAGCTGAGGCAGCCACCCAGCAGCCATATAGCTGGTGCAATGTATGTGTTAGGTTACAGTTAGTTAAGCTAGGAAACTTTTTTTTTTTTACTAATAAATAATTTTGCTTCATTAGTTCACCTTTCTGTCTCTCTCTCTTCACTCTCATCCGTTCCTATCTCTTGCCCTTAAAGGATCACTATAATGTCAGGAAAACAAACTAATTTTCTTGACACTATATCATCCTTAGGACCCTCCCACCCTCATGGTCCCCCTCCTGTGGTGCTGAAGGTGTTAAACCCCTTCAGTTACTTACTTTAATTCAGCGCCGGGCTCCTTCGGCGCTGGTGACCTCTCGTCCCCCGCTGACGTCACCTCCTGAGTGGAGCGGCATGTGCGGCAAGAGCCGTGCGCGCATTCAAACAGTCCATGGGAAAGCATTTCTCAATGCTTTCCTATGGAAGTTCTGCACGCTGGATGGGATTTTCGCATCAAGCGTCGCAGAAGCGCCCCTAGAAGCTGTCAGGAAGACACACACTAGAGGTTGGATTAACCCTGCAATGTAAACATAGCAGTTTCTCTGAAACTGCTATGTTTGCATCTGAAGGGTTAAACCCTGGGGGACTTGGCACCCAGACCACTTCATTGAGCTGAAGTGGTCTGGGTGACTATAGTGTCCCTTTAATGATACTTTCCACTTCACTCTCATCTATTTCCGTTACATGATCATGTTCATCTGTTCTTCACCCTCAAGCATACCTTTCTACTTCAGATTACGTAATTCTGCTCCGTTACTTTCATTTTTTTCTTATCTGCAGGTTCTAACAATGAAATTCAACTTTAAATTGCTTTACATCTTTTACAAGTAGAATTTAAATGCAAAGTGTAGGGACAGTGCTGGTAATGTACAGTTGGTAATGTAGATATACAGCTGTGAAGCTCAGTCTGCTGTTCAAATATACTGCATGTTTCTTGCTGTTCTTTACCCATTACCATTGTCTTCTACCCAAAGGCTTACTTAGGGCGTTTGGCACCTGGGGTGCAATTGTCTGTTAGCACCCAAAGGCATTTAAAAAAAAATGGAAAAAAATACAAAATAACTGTCAGTCTCCTTCGGTCTGGTGCTCCATGCAGGATTTCACCTCGAGGAGTTTAAATGATCATGGGAACAGTGAGGAATCAGCCCAGAACTACACGGGAGGATCTTGTTAATGATCTCAAGGCAGCTGGGACCACAGTCACCAAGAAAACAAGTGGTAACACACTACAGCGTGAAGGACTGAAATCCTTCAGCACCCGCATAGTCCCCCTGCTCAAGAAAGCACATGTACAGGTCTGTCTGATGTTTGCCAATGAACATCTGAGTGATTCAGAGGAGAACTGGGTGAAAGTGTTCTGGTCAGATGAGACCAAAATCAAGCTCTTTGGCATCAACTCAATTCGCCGTGTTTGGAGGAGGAGGAATGCTGCCTATGACCCCAAGAACACCATCCCCACCTTCAAACATGGAGGTGGGAACATTATACTTTGGGGGAGTTTTTCTGCTAAGGGGACTTGACAACTGAATCGCATAAAAGGGACGATGGACAGGGCCATGTACCGTCAAAACTTGGATGAGAACCTCCTTCCCTCAGCCAGGGCATTAAAAATGGGTCGTGGATGGGTATTCCAGCATAACTATGACCCAAAACACACAGCCAAGGCAACAAAAGAGTGGATCAAGAAGAAGCACATTAAGGTCCTGCAGTGGCCTAGCCAGTCTCCAGACCTTAAACCGATAGAAAGGGAGCTGTTGGTTCGAATTGCCAAACGTCAGCCTCGAAACCTTAATGACTTGGAGAGGATCTGCACAAGTAGTGGGACAAAATCCCTCCTGAGATGTGTGCAAACCTGGTGGCCAACTACAAGAAACGTCTGACGTTTGTGATTGCCAACAAGGGTTTTGCCACCAAGTACTAAGTTGAAGGGGTCAAATACTTATTTCACTCATTGACATGCAAATCCATTTATAGCTTTTTTGACATGCCTTCTTCTAGATTTCTTTTTGTTATTCTGTCTCTCACTGTTAGAATTCACCTACCATTAAAATTATAGACTGATCATTTCTTTGACAGTGGACAAATGTTCAATATCAGCATGGGGTCAAATACTTTTTTCCCTCACTGTATACAGCACCAACTTATTTTGCAGCACTTTACAATGTTATAAAGGAGGTCATTTACCAGTGATTGAGATAAACTATTAAAAACTGAAACCTGAAGGTTGAGGAACAAAGCTCAAACGAGCTTACAGTCTTGAGGTGGTAAGGTATACGAACACAATCGGAAAGGTAGCATGGAGCATAGCAATAGATGACAGGGTGGAAAGGTAGCAGAGTTGGAAGGTGAAAGTGAAGTGAAGAATGGACTCACTGAACAGGTTGAGCATACCTATGAATTAGTGACGAAATTTTGCAAGTACAGTTGAGAGCTTTGTAAGCAAGATAAGCAAGAGTTAATATTTTGAATCGAATCCTATAGGATCAGGAAAGCAAGTGTGGCAGTAGAGTTATGAGAGAATTACAGTAGTCAATACGAGAAATTACCAGAGCTTGAGCTAGCTCCTTAGTAGCACCTTGCATAAGAGAGGAATGCACGTAGGCAGTGTTTTTAAAGGGACACTCCATTACCCAAATACAAAATAAGAATCACTGTTTAGTATGTATACTGTCAGAGTATTTATATCGGCAGACATTTTGTGCTATGATAGAAACTAAAAGTGTATATTCTGAGTCACTCTGAACAGACCAGACTCCATTTTGTTATTTCAAGTTAACAAAGAAGACACTAGATTTCTTTCTGAAAGACTGGCCTCTTTGCCAGAGCTAAGGAATGCATAGTATAAACAAGTGATAAGGAAGGGGGTTGGATAGACTGTCTAAAATGCTAATGGAATATAATCAAATCTAAACCCAGACAATTGTGACAGAGAAGATTAAAAAATTTAATATTTAACTGTCTATATATATAAGGTACCATTGTATGGAAAAGGGTAAACTTAGTTTATGATCTGTCATATCAGAAATTATGGCAGGAATTGCAGACGCTAAGTCTGGACAAAATTTAAGAAATCCTTTTGAAATTTTGAATTATGGCGCTATAAAGATAACGCAAAATGACGTCAAAATAGCCACCAGGAAAAGTTAACTCTTTCCTGGATAGGTATGTTTAGTGGGACAAGACTGCCCTCTACAGACCAAATAACTAATTTGCGATCTGGAAGATAACCACACCTCTAGTGCTTCTATTGGGTTATCAACTGATGACGTACAGAGAGTCTGGCCCTTTAAAAGTTAGGACAAAGGGAAGATAGAGGATACAACGAGAGAGAGGAGGCAGATGCAAGAGATGCAAAGGAGAGGAGAGAGGAATTGGAAGTTTGGGGACTCCAACTCGGACAACATCTGAGAATAACACTCTACTCCTAAAACTCTAACACTTAGAATTTACTGACTTTCTAACCAACACCTCCATGCAGAGAGACTACCAATCGGATGAAATATCTACTCAACTGGTAATTATACTGGTTTCATTTAATTAAATTAAATTAATTAAAATGTATTAATAGCATTATATATGACTGGATAAAGCACGGTCAGATTTCCATATTAAGAAATCTTAGTTAACTAAGAATATATAGTTATAAATATTCCATTCTGCAGGTGGAATTAAGAATAATTATATATTGATGTGATATTATCACGTGTTAGCATACCGCTGTTTTTATCCAGGTGTATTGATTTGCTCTAAATTAAGATAGATATCTTTTAGACAAATTAAAAATCTGCTTATATAATGTAGTAAATTCTCTTATTGGATGATTTTAAGAAAATGACTAGTGAACTGGTTTAAATGTTATTTTATTTAAAAATTACATAAGAATAGATCTTAACTACCTAGGAGATCTAGCCAGCATTGAAAGGGTTATTCTAACTGTCGGCTAAACTTTACGACCTTACGCTGCACTCTGAGGAATTCTGTTCTTCGCTGTGAAAAGTTTCACTTTCAGCCTGTGTTAAAGATAGTCATAAATAATTCTTGACAGGAAATGCTATTTAGCCATTGTAACGTAATACCCATTTCTTTGTATTGCATACCATTTTATACCGGATATTCATTGATTATTGTTATGCATGTTACATAATATTATTTGTTTATTATTAATTTGTCATATAAATAAAATCTATTTTTATACATTGTGATATTAATTATATGAAATACATTTCACTTACGATAAACGTTCTTTGGGATCTGAGAATTGAATTAGTGGGCAATTCTCACTGTTACTATTATTATCCCATAAATATCCCCACAATACCTAAAATGAAAACTTACATATATTTATTTTTGCAATTTTTATAGGTGTTATATATAAAAACTACTTGCAAAAACTGCAGATCTCTCATTTGCTACCTTTGCAAGTCCTCCTCTTCTAACCCCGCCCAAACTTTCTGTAGCAGTCCAATCACAGACATCCCAATGCACCTCAATGAGAAGTCTTTGCAAGGCAGGTGCTCTGGACAATTTCTGCCTCTCGAATTCAGTGCAACTAAGCTAACCAAACCAGGAAGTAACAGACCTATTGTCTAGTTGAAAAACCAGGGGGTGTAACCAATATAATTTACAAGTGCCAATTTCTATTGAAATCTGCACTTTTTGCAAAATGAAAAAAAGATGACACACTCTTCACACTTAAATCATTGGTATTATTTGGTGATAAACTCAAGCTTTGAGGAAAAAGATAGAAGAGATATGAGATGGTTGTTGAATGGAGAAAATAGATCAAGATGGGTATGACAAGTAAGAGAACAGGAAACTAAAACTTAAAAAGTGAACACACTGTGCTGTAATATGTGCTGGAAAATTAAACCTTTTTTTCATGGAAGCTGTGTGAGTCATAGCAAGGGGAAGTGTGGCTAGAGCTACATAAAATTATTTAACCCTAAACCGCAAAGAATTGAGTAGTTAGACTACAGGAGCATGATCTATATTTTTGGTGCTTAGAGTGTCCCTTTAAGAAGTGTTGATTTATTCATTTCATTTAAATTTTCACACCTGACAAATACATATATGTTGCAGGAAATAAGTAAACATTTGAAAAATCCTAGGAATTAAGTTTTTACTCTTTAACTTTATTATTAATATACTTCTATTATTAATACATTAACAAACTTCCTCTGCTTCATCCCTATCTTGTACTCCTATTTCTAGAATGGTTTTTAAAAATCCTGCACATGTAACCCTTAAAGTACTTCTGCTTAAAGGAACACTCTGGGCAACATAGCAATTTAATCAAAATGAAGTTGTTGTGGTGCCAGGAGGTTCCTGGCATTGTTTTATCTTTAGGGTTAAACCGTTAACAAATGGTTTAAGCCCCAAAGTCTCCACACCAGTGCCCGATTGCACTTCCCAACATCTGTTTGCTGAACAGCTTCAAAACAGAAGCCTGGGATTGCTGTGGGCAAAAGTGCAGCTGATTGGATTAGCACGGTCAGCTGATGCTGTCAGTGGTTCCCCATTCACAAAACAGCTTAAAAAAACTTACATATTGTACTCATGCCTTTCCTATGAATGGGGAGCCACAGATTGGCTGAGAGTGTCATGTAATCATTCTAAGCCAATCAGCACTACCTCTGCCCACGTCAGTCCTAGTCTGTAACTTTTTAGCAAGCGGATGTTTGAGGGGGCAGAATGATCCGGCAATGAAAAGGAGACATTGGGTTTAAACCATTTGTGAACAACATCAGGGACCCCATGGCACTGTAACAACTTAGTTTACATGAAGGTGTTATAATGCCCTTTAAGTCAGTATTATAGGAAATGGTTAATATTATAGTTGCTCAGTTTTTATTAGGTCTCTTCGGCAGGAAATAATGTATTTATTTAGTGCTTCTTGTTTGAAAAAGGTTGAGATACCCCACCTTTCCCATCACTCTTCCATACTCGTGTTTGTCCATCGTATAACCATCACAATCTTACCCTCACCCATCCCCTCTCTGTATCTCTGCTTTCATTCTCTCTCTTAGAGTGCTGGGTCACTTTGAGAGACCTCTCTTCCTTGAGCTGTGCCAACACGTGGTGTATGAACATTACCACCCTGGATCTTTGGTTTTCTGCCCAGGACAACCTGACTCCAGTATTTACATTGTCCTGGAGGGAAGACTGGAGTTGTCCATCACTGATCCCGTGAGACATCAAACTCTGCTTTTTAGTGTTCCTCACTTTGCTTTTCTCAACATGAAAAAAATTCAAAAATGCATGCTAATCTGAAATGCTTGTCACCTGTGGCAGATGGTGATAGCTACCAAAAACATTTCCCCCTCCATAACTATCTGCCACCGGTTGGCTCACTATGTTATAAGAAATCACACTAGGGTGGCATAGAATCATGTGAAATCATGTTGGGTTTGCATGCAATATAACATTAAATCAGCTGGTGTTGGCACACAGTTCTAAATAAAATCAGCTTGGGTTGACATGCAATACGAGTTGAGTTGGCTCTTGGCATGAAATTAATCTCTGATGTTGGCTTACTTTAAAGCATCCAGTTATACCCATCAGCCTGACGGTTGACAAATGCAATCTATCTATTCTCAGGATGGAACAAGGCATAACATGAAAAGTGTCGGACCAGGTGATAATGTGCACAGCCTCCTCAGTATCTTAGATGTGCTTACGGTGAGCATTAGTTATTGTATTTAAACCTTCAAGGTCATGACTTAATATTGCTGGATAGGCTTTTCAAAAGTTTTTATATTTTTGAATACACGTTTAAAATGATTTCATTAACTGAAACATATTATAATTTTGCAATATTTTGATATTTTGTTTTCATATATTGCTATTTTTTTAATTTACTCTTTTGAAAAAAAAAATACTGAATGTTTAACAGAAAACGTTAAATTATTTGAAAAGATTATCCAACAATATTAAATCAAGGCCTTTGTGATTTAAATGCACATATGACCCGAAGATCCATTGTATAGTATATTATATATATATGGTACACATCTAGCATGCTTGAACAGGCTAAATACCTAATCAATGTCCCAGGCTCTTAGTATATTAATAAGGAAGCACATTCCTGTTTTTAAATATGTAATCGGTTATGTGCTAGATCCAGGTATAGCTTGTAGTTACTGTACCATTGGACCCCTAATACTTGTGGTTATCTATCATTCCAGTGGCCGTGTGCCCCAGACCCCTGTAAGCCACTGTATGTAGAATATACCATGATAATGTGTTTAGTAATATAGGCTGTACTGGATTACAACAAATGGAACGTGTCAAGTATTTTTCACCTACCAGGGCCACCAGCGACCGTATCGTACTGTGACTGCCCAGGCTGTAGAAAAAAGTACTTTACTCCGTTTACCGGTCGAGGCATTCAGTGCTATCTTTAACAGCTACCCTCAGAGCCTGGTACGGACCGTGCAGGTAAGGAAAAGGAACCTGTGTGTCCTTCTGTCATGCTTTTAGTAAAAGATATACTCAATTATATATTTATTATTATGACCATTTTTTGTTTTCTTTTGATTCATATTTTTGTAAGGGCTGAAAGGACTGTTTTCTTTCTTTATAACCTAATGTGTGTGGCATCCTTTTGATTCTCTAATTACTCAATAAAGACGTCATCTTTTTAAAGAAAAGATACTCTCACTAGTAACTGGTATTAATGCAGTTACTGTAGCGGAGCTCCAATACTTCAGCGAGCATCTCTGCTTAGGTATCCATCAGGCTACAAGAAAGGTCACTGTAGTGATTATAGCCCATCTCCCCAAGCACTAGACAACACTTAGTGTAGGGGAGACTAACATGGTTTACTGTCACAAGAGCACACACAAGAACAATAGGTTACCGTCCTGGACTCTTGGAGTCCGGGGCGCCTAGATACTAAAACGATATAAAAACATACTACAAAAAAACTACTCTGTCTGTGGGATAAAATATCTCACATACAGGGTAAAACTGGAAGATAATGTTGCAAAATAATGTCACAATGAAAATAGTACATGTATTGCATGTGCAGAAAATTGTACCCAAACCTGTAGGTCAATACTAGGTGAAACATATAACTACAGCCAAGTGGCTGAACCTCCAAAATCCCTGGTCCGATACAATTAGGAGGAGTTGTGACAGGCAAAAGACTTTAATACTAAATCATATGGCCAACGTCTGTACACATGTAACTCAAAATAATAAAAGTAACTAAATTGTTACATATACATCCAAATACACCAGGGTTAACTAGTCATAACCTGCTGCGTACCCTAGATCAAATGATCTATTTATAATTTAATGATTAAGTGTCAACGGGGAAAATCTGCCTATAGATGAGGAACATCAACGTCCCAAACATACTGGACAGTGCCCTCCTTAAAAGATAGAAAACTAAGTGGGAAACCCTATATCCAAAAACTATAGCTTCGCCACAGTTACATCTCTTATTTCACTGATTTAATATTGCCAAAAATTGTCATCAACCATTATTACATATACAAACGATAATGTGCAAGAGCGCTATTTTTTTAAGGTAAATAGAAATAAAATGAATTAATTAATAACTAATTGTTTAACAGCTACCATCCTGTGATGTGAAATTCCTCCCAAAATACATAGAAAACATTCCACTATATAAAACATACAGTGGAGCACTATATTAAATAAGTGCAATCAATCTAATATATTATTACATATATCAGATCTCACCTCTGTTAAGTGGAATTTGTATTTAATGAAAGTCTTTATCCAGTATATGGATTTCCACCTTGACCCTGAGTTACTGAATACATATTGAAAAAAAAAGAACTGCATTGTTCACTGGTTCCTTTTGCTAAGAAAGGATACATAACAGAAGCATTCAATTATTGAATATTTCTCACCTAGTAGCCAAGAGAATTAAATGTATGCATTTACAGTGTGATTTAAAAATACCGACAGCTAAAGAAAAATGTTGTGTTGATTTAAAATAGTAATTTATCAAAATCTGGCTCAAATTTGTTTTATTTTTATTTTTTCAAATTGTACATGTTTTTGAAGGTTGTAGAGTGCAAATGCATGGATTGTTTATGCAGGGATATAATTGGTCGCTCTTTCTTTATACCTGAATTTATAGCTGCGCTCAACCAACGCTCAGTTATATTTTGCAGTGCATCGTGAGTAAAGAACAGTGGTTTACAAGCTAGTAACTACTAGAAAACAAGAGAAATTTCAATGTATCTTTCCTGGTAAAATATTTGATAAATAATAAAATGAATTATCTTCACACTTGCATGTGTCATTGCCAACGGTCTTCTTGGATGACCATTATTCCGAGTTGAGTGAAATTAGTGTATTGTATCTGGGTAACGGTAACATCATCAATAAGTCCAAGTGAGTGTGCTAAGCTCTTTGAATCCCCTTGTGGGAAAAAGAAATTATATAAATCATTGGCTTTTTTTATAACTTGAAATTTGACAACTTACAGCCAGATTCTGTTAAAGAGTTTTATCATTCAAAAAACAATCATAGGTATGGATTGTGTAATTTAACATAGTGAGGTTCACTGGACAAATAATTGTAGGTGTGCTGTCTGTCTATTGCATACAATGTTAATGCCAGTTTGAATCCCATCTTTCTGCAGATTATAGCACTCCGCCTGCAAAGGGTGACATTTCTTGCCCTCCACCACTATCTGGGTCTGACCATAGAACTCTTCCAACATGTAAGATGCCTTAGTTTTATTCTTTTTACATTCTGAGAGGGAAGTTAGAAAACTTATGAATGGTAGGGCAAGCTCACAGTATCGGAGGAAACATTTCCTTTGATACTGTGAGCTTGCCCTGCTATTCATAAGCTCTCTAAATGAGACACAAAGTGAGATACTTTGACTTGAGAGGACATCCTATTGGTGAAGAAGGGATAATTATGTAGTTAATGTCAGTGCATTATTAGGGCTATATCCTCCTTAAAGGGACACTAAGCACAAGACTCATTACAACTAAATGTATTGGTTCTGGAGCAAAAAAACTGTCACTGCAATCTCTGAACTATAAACACTACTACTGAGAAGTGCTTAGATTGCTGCCTAATGTCATCTTTAGGGAATGTCACTCTGAAAGCCACTAGAGGGGTTTCTTTCCTGTAGTCTTTGCAATTCCAACATTTGGCATCTCCATGCTCTTTGTGGAAATGCCACACACTCTCTATATGGATGCATTGAGTCATTGAGAAGATAATGATTGGCACAGCGTGGCGATTGCTACCCATGCTCACTAGCCTCTCAATTCTTCCATATGGGGAATCATCAGTATTGATGATCTCAGCTGGGGAGGAGTGGCATCTACGGTGAGAAAGGTGGGTTAGCCTTCTTTAATTATTTATTGGTTGAGGGGATAGGTGACAACTCAAATGGCCCATACACCATTCTAGCATTAAGAATACAAACATGCATACATAACGTTAGTGTCCATTTATAAGAAAGAAACTTTTGCAGACAGTGAGAGTTTGTATTTATTAGGTAATGAGTTCCAGAAGTGGTAGTTTAGAATACATATTTGTATAAGTAAAACAGATCACAACACAGATTGTGTTATGTGTTGAAGACTGTTGAGTTTGAAGTTGACATTATAGATAATGTGAATATTTGTGAAATGTAGAAAGTGTTTTTATGATGAATCTGTTTGTATAGTTATTGTGAACATTTGAAGGAAGGGATATGATATATTTACTGGTAGGATCCATAGAATCTTATGTTACTCTCTGTAGGAACTTCAGGATGAACCTCTTCCTGCTTCACTCGGCCAGTCAGTGAATGCTCGACGACCACCACTTTCAAGAAGTAAAACACATGATGGTGAGACCATTTTTTCTTCTGATCCACCACACTTAGTCCATATCCTGCAGTTTAAATGTCTTTTCGCCATAAATAAATCGATCTATGTTTCTCTTTCAGAAAGCACAGATACTCCTGCTACGTCCAAAAAGACACACAAGAGAGCACCGCCTCTCGGACTCTGCAAATCTGTGTCTTTGGGAACTAAAAGTAAGTGTGTAAAATAAAAATGTGATTAGAGATAGTATGACCATCGAAAGTGAAGATTGTGATGTTTCCATGCATGTTTGCTGTTGCTTGTGCTACTTTGTGTTTATTTTCCTGTTACGAAAGATACACCACATTTTACTTAGTGATCAGCTATTATTTTCCATTTATTCTAGACTTAGGGCTTTTGAGCCTGCATAATGGTAGATTTTTCCTTATTCCATACTTGCTTTTTTTGTTGTTGTTTTTTTGTTTTCTGGTGAATTAAAGGTCTTCTCTTTCTCCTGTTTCTTTACTTTAAGTATTTACATGATGTTATTATATTCTTCCACTTTCCTGCATGTTTTCTTTCTGTTCTACCATGCAGTCTTGATGATTGCGTTGTGCACGTCCATAATTTTGAGGTTTTCCGTTTACATCTCTGTCTTTGTAGTTTCTCTTCATGTGCAGCCCTTCTTCCTCTGTCTATCTTCTTGCTGTTTCCAGCATTGGGGATTCTGCTCTTTTTTGCTGAATAGACTATTATATAATCTATATTCCCTTAAATTGTAGTAGATTACATTGCTGCATAATCTATTTTCACATGTGACATTTTTAAGTTCTCTCTCTCTGATTATATATGTCACATTATAGGATCTACCTCTTTCTCTGGTTTATGGCACTCTCTGGATTGTGAGTTAGAGCAATCACACACCATTGTTTCTCTTGAGAACAGAGAGGTCCCTTCATCACCCTCTTCTCTGGTAAGATATCCTTTAATAGAATATTCCATGCATATTTAATTTTTTAACCCCTTAAGGACACATGACATGTGTGTTAGGTCATGATTCCCTTTTTTTCCAGAAGTTTGGTCCTTAAGGGGTTAAAGGCAAACTTTTACAGATTTACAAGTTGTAGAGAAATAATGGAATACTTTCCTGGGATTTGTAGGACTTCTACTCTGTGGAATCTAAAGTAGAAGATATCCAGGAGAAGATTGAAAGCGGCAAAAAACAGCTGGCAAAACTGATGGACCTAGAGGTACGATAACGCTTGGAGGTCATGCAAAACTCTTGTGCTATAAGTAATATAAAATTTGAATTATTTTGCTACAAGTATCTCTGTTAATTACTGCATTTAGAAACATACTAGCTAATAATACATTTTCAGTGTTGCTTGCATTTGTCCTGGGGGAATGAAGCCCTGAATTGATACATCTTTTCTACATTGTGGAATGAAGCCCTGAATTGATACATCTTTTCTACATTGTCTTAGGATGTGTCGTTATTGGATAACAGAGTATCTCTGCATTGTGTGAAGGCTGATACGGTTATTGCACACCAGGGAGAGCAGGTTTTCCCCTTTTCCACCTATTTTGTTTATTGCTGCTTTCTCCTTTACTACCATTACCTTTACTGTTATTCTCCGAATTTCTGCTTTTTTCATATACTGCCTACTATTTTTGTGTCTGCGCCATTGACCTTCATTTCGCCAATCTCTACTTTATATCATTCTACTGGTTTTGTTTCAATCACCCATTTTACATTAGTCTCTCGTGTTCTTTCAGGGAGTGGGTCTGCACTTTGTGCTGTCTGGCTGTCTCCATATTTATCAGGGTGTAAGTGGCCGCCAAGACTCCTGCATTTTTGTGACGGGCTCAGGTGAGATGATTGGGCAGCTAACAGTCCTAACTGGAGAACCCCTGATCTTCACTATCAGAGCCTTTCGAGACAGCTCATTTCTCTGCTTAAGCCGCGCTCACTTTTACCAGTGAGTATCATTGCCATTTAAATTTTAGGAAATGCAACTAATTAACTAACTAATGTGACATAGTTTACACTTATCAATCCAGCACGTGCCAGTGAAATAAATCCGGTGGCTAAAGTATCAGCTCTAGAACCTGTTCAGATTTCAGCATTTAGTTCTCAAAAAAGGATTGACTTAGCCTTTCATTCTTCTATGGAAGATTAAATAAATGTCGTTGGAGGGTCAATAATAACATTTACTCTCCTGTGCATACTTAAAATATCAATGTATTCTTATAGTGAAAGTATTTTTTATTTATTACAGATATGTTTTGTCTCTATCTTAACGTCCCTCTTCCTTATTCACTATCGTTCTTATAACTGCCTCCTTTCATCTGTTTATCTTCCTACTATCTTAGGATTGTGCGCTCTCACCCTACTGTCCTCCTTTCAGTTGCTCACTCCGTTGCCCGTCGAGTATCTCCCTTTGTGCGTCAGGTGGATTTTGCTATTGACTGGATTGGTGTGGAGGCAGGTAAAGAACTCTACAAGTGAGTTTAACAAAATAAAAATAGATTTGTGGTTTGCCATTTTTAGAGTTAATTTTAAGTCCTATACTTATCTTCAATACTTCTGTTTAACTGTGTTTTTTAGAATGGGAGATCCTTCTGATTGTACTTACATTACACTGAATGGTCGCCTTCGTTCTGTAATCGAACATCCAGATGGTAGAAAGTCTGTGGTTGGGGAGTATGGCCGAGGACAGCTGATTGGAATGGTGAGAGTGTTAAATTCTGGGTTATCCATCTTTTTAAAATAACCGTTTACATTATAATTCCCACCTTTTAATCTGGCACCCAGTATTACTCATTTTTTGTTACTCTACATGTGTTTTACTTCCATCAATCAAAGTATTTTTTTCTGTAGGTGGAGACCTTGACCCATAAGCCAAGGGCCAAATCTGTCTATGCAGTACGAGACTCGGAACTGGCCAAAGTACCAGATGGAGCTCTGTCCTACATCAAGAGGAAATACCCCCAGGTAACAGTTAACTAGCATGATTGATTGCAATTGAACCATTATCACAGCCTTTTTTATGAAAACATGCAGGGGACCATTGGGAAAAACAATCTTTTTTTTTTCATGAAGGGAAGCTTCAATGTCCTTGTGTCTTTTGCATTTCTTCTGCTAGGATAATTAGTCGTCTTACTATTAATTTTGCGATTCATTAATATGCTCTTACCAGGATCTCTTATTTTCTCCTTCAGGTAGTAACAAGGCTGATTCATATTTTAAGTCAGAAAATAATTGGTCATCTTCAGCACCCTGAAGGAGATGTCACAGGTAAACTATCTCAGACTTGTTCATAGAGTTTAAAGGTCAAAGGAGACTTAGAACCCTTTAAAAAAAAAAAAAAAAAGTAACACGTTAAATAAATATATTTATTTATAAAGTTTCAGTGTTCCTTTTAATGTTTCAATACAGAGACACCCTTTGGAAACATAAAAAAATAATAAAACTATCCTTTTTTTCCAGGTTTGTCCCTGTTTTGTTACAACAGACATTCCACCTGCTGTGAGATCATTGTTGTGATGTTCTCAGTTTCAGAGAAACTGCTATGTTTCACTGAGGGTTAATCCAGCCTCTAGTGGCTGTCTCACTGACAGCCACTAGAGGCCTCTTCCGCGATTCTCACTGTGAAAATCACAGTGAGAAGATGCTGGACGTCCGTAGGAAAGCATTGAGTAATGTTTTTCTATGGGCGGTTTGAATGCACGCAAGGATTTTGCCGCGCATGCGCATTCGGCAGGAGGAGAGGTCACCAGTGCAGAGGGAGTCCGGCGCTGGATTAAGGTAAGTGGCTGAAGGTGTTTTAACCCCTTCAGCCCAGCAGGAGGAGGGCCATGAGGCTGGGGGGGACCTAATAACCCTATAGTGCCAGGAAAGCGAGTTTGTTTTCCTGGCACTATAGTGGTCCTTTAACCCCTTAAGGACACATGACGTGTGACATGTCATGATTCCCTTTTATTCCAGAGGTTTGGTCCTTAAGGGGTTAACTTGCCAGTATTTGTACTGTCTCAGGTATAGTATATCTCCCTACCTACCACACAGGTTAAACTGAAAATTGTATAATGTAAAATTATAGTTTATCTTATTTGAAACTTATTATATATCTTTCATCTTATTTTTTCTTTTCTAGATTCCAGTAGTCTTGCCAGTAATCTGTGCACAGTTTGTGTGCTGCCCTGCAGTAATACTGTCCCTCTCACTGCTTTCACATTGGAGCTCAAACATGCTCTAGACGTCATTGGTAAGTTCCTTGATGGGTATTAGTTAAAATGATGGAGGTAAACAACAGAGAGATAACATTCTGCATCTTTTAGGCCCGACATTGGTTCTAACAAGTGAAATCATCAGGGTACAACTTGGTGCCTATGCCCTGGAAAGGAAAGTATCGTTTTTTTTATTGCTCATGCAGTACCTGTGCATTTCAGAATTTTATCTAAATTTGTATTTGCTAAGAGAAGCCTAGAATTAGTACACAAGATTCAAAATAGTCACAATTTTGTTTTGGTATTTGCATTTAATGCCTCCACTTCTATTCTGCAGCACGCATGAATGTCAGTTGTCCAGTTGGCTGGCCCAACAAGAAGACCTCCATCGAATTGTCCTATACCAGACTGAGTCCACTCTCACACCATGGACTATCCGATGCATCCGCCAAGCAGACTGCATTCTTTTAGTTGGTTTGGGGGTAGAAGAGCCACATCTGGGAAATGTAAGTAAAGTGGAATCTGCTATTCTGTAACGGTTATGTAAAATTACATTTACAAATATAAGAAAATGTGTTTAACATTCATATGGGATGTGCAGGGTGAAAGATTTTAGTTTGCATTTTTTTCCTCTGTGCTTTTCAGCTGGAGACATTCTTTGAACAGTCCCAAATTCGCGCGCTGAAACAGTTGGTCCTTCTGCACAGGATGGATGGTCCTTCTCCATCTGGTACTGTTCAATGGCTAAAGGAGAGACCCTGGCTTTCAGGACATTTTCATATCCGGAGCCCAAAACGCATGTTCATGCAGAAACCTCCGCATAGAGTGGTAATTAGTATGTTTTTAAAAGAAGATCAATTGATAATGGCAGATTTTGGAAACCTCTGTAGAAAGTAGAACTGCCTTTAGATTATACATTTCATTAATCAGGACCTTTTCACATTTCTTTTTGTATGCATGCATGTTATCATCACTTACTTGCATGTCTCATTTACCTATTGTACCGTGCTGCAAAATATGTTTTAAAAATATAATGTTCACAGTATTGTGTATATGAGAGAGGCAGAACCTGTTTTATAACTAAATAACAGGGCATTGATGGACCACCTGCAGAGGAGATCTGTCATCATCTTTACTCAGCATAATAATCAGGGACGTAGCAATTTAGCTCTATAGAGAGGTTTCTGTGAGCTTACTCGATGTTTCAATCTGTGTTGACAAGAATAACAGTTGAAAATTCATAGGAGCAGTACAGTCTTTTCCCTATAAGGATTCATTTTGACATCTTCCTGCTTTTACCACTACAAAAAATATATAAATCTGCCAGGCTTGGATGGGTCTCAGTTCTCATGGTGAACTGCACTGATTTAGTGAATGCAGAGCATCACAGTATAGAAGAAATATATTTTTTATAAGAGACTGTATGTCTGTGTGTGAATTAAGACTGCATGGACCCCCTCTCTACTTCTTACTCTATGTGTTTACATTTGCATACTACTCAATTACTTGTTGTGGTTTTTCTGCCTATTCTGTAACACTACAGAGTATGTTGATGCTTTCACTGTCCTCCTCTTTCTTTCCTCTGGCTCTTGTGCTGCCACCCTCATTGCCCTCTTATCTCCTTTGTATCAGTACGAGTTATACACTAGGATCCTGCAGCAGCAAGCCAACCGTCACAGTGACTTCTCTCGTCTGGCGCGCGCCTTGACTGGAAACACCATTGCTTTGGTTTTAGGAGGTGGTGGAGCCAGGTGGGTCTTTGCATCCAGAATTTTATTATGTTATTGATATTTCTGTATATGTATATGTGCATATATTTTCTTGTTCTTTTTACATATGTATATGGGTGTATCTTCTTTTACTCTTTATACAGAGGCTATGCGCATGTTGGTGTGTTAAAAGCTTTAGAGGAGGCTGGTATTCCAGTGGACATGGTGGGTGGAACTTCTATTGGGGCACTGGTTGGAGGTGTATATGCTGAAGAGCGAAATAGCAGTCGAACAAGAGAGCGGACAAGTAAATGGGCACAGGTTGGAAAAGACGTGTATTGTATTTGGTGTGGCATGATTTTATTTTTATCTCTCCTGACATTGTGTGCATTGTATTACATCTTTCCTGTCCCCTTTCTAAATTAATTTTGTCACCATTAATTTGTATTCTTATTAGCCATCTAATTCAATGTATGTCATTACTAGATGATGTCTTCACTTCTCCGAACGGTTATGGATCTCACCTACCCAATCGCCTCATTTTTAACAGGCTGTACGTTCAATGATATCTTGCACACACTCTTTGGGGAGAGACAAATACAGGTGAAGGAAACAGATGAGTTTGATCATATCTAAAATGTTGTTTGATTTATTTTATATATATATATATATATATATATATATAATTTGTTTTAGGGGCAAATAGCTGTATATGGAGTAAGGTTCCAGTATAACTGTAGTACAGTATTAAAGAGCAAGTCAGTTGTGGTGTGAAAGAAAGAAAGGAAAAAGTGTTGAGAATGTGGAGTGGTGGGAGGGTCATTCAGATGCTGACCTCGAACGGTATGGAGCCAAGTAATGGGTGTACCTTATATAGGTAAGTGTATTATCTTAAGCCCCTCCCACAATTACAGGCCAAACGGCCTTAATACTTGTGTTAGGGGCAAATAGCCGTATATGGAGTAAGGTTCCAGTATAAGCGTAGGATAGTATAAAGGGAACAAGTCGGTTGTGGTGTGCCGAGACCGACGATACAGTAGGCCTGTAAATAAAGAGGGCAAAAGTGAATAATCAAAAATTAAATACAGTCAACAAATATATACAAATTAACCAGACATTTCCTTAAATGCATTTCTTGTTTCCTGTGTTGGTTTGGGTATGTAACTTGTATATGCGGAAGATTTCTATCGCGCAGTGATTTTATGATATGTACTGGTATGTTGGTGCCGGAAGATGTGGAGGCCGCTACTATACGAAAGGAGTGACCTGAGTAGGTTGAAGGGTTGAGACCTAGCATGGTTAACAGGGATCTGATGTATTTCATGAAAGTAGCGGTAGTAAGTACAGAGCCTTGTAGTGCAAATAAATGTTGTGATGGTAGTGAGGTAGGATATTGATGGTAGGAATCTCGGACCGCAACTGGACACCATTTATTGTAGGTAGGATAATAAGTGATTTCTACTGGAGGTACGCGTTGACTTGTTTTAGACTGTGGTAGAGCGAGTATGTAATGGTCCATGTGTTTGCATTGGTGGGATCGTAGGAGACTATCTGTCTGAGTGGTGGTGATGGTAGTGAATTCTCTTGGCCTGAGGAAACCGTAGAAGGCTATGTACATGGCTGCTTTAATGACCGAAATATAATTTAATGGTGTTGTAAGATAGTTGTAGTTTAAGGTGGCAAAAAGAAGCGAAAGCAAGGATAGATGTCATGACAAAAGGTTGGGATATGTTGTGGTCCAATAGAAATCTTTTAAACAATGTGAAGGCTCTGTTGTATGTTTTGCGAGTATTGGATGACCGTGCTAATTTGGACAGATCCCTGCTGTGTTGCATAATTAATTCTAATCCATGATTAGCTGCTGGAATGAAGGAGGGGCTGTGGCTGCTTGAGCGGCTGAAGGAAGTGCTTGATGAAATGCCTGAAAAGTGAATCGAGACAAACTGTCAGCTACTATGTTACAAATGCCTGGTACATGAAAGCAAACCAAGAAGAAATTGTGACATGCTGCCAACCAAGTGAGTTTCCTGAGAAATCTCATGATCGTTAGAGATGATGAGTGGCCCTTGTTGATGATATGACATGTGGCCTGGTTGTCTGAGTAGCAACGGACTGATGACCTTGACCATGAATATTATGCCACAGCAGCTGCCACAATGGGGTAGATCTCAAAAAGAGCTGAGGTAGTGAAAAAACCTTCCATATCCTGGACTTCTTCAGGCCAACTACCCCAAAGCCATTCATTCCCAAAGATTGCTGCGAAACCCGTGGTAGATGCCGCATCTGACCATATGGTTGGTGACATGTCAGACAATCCTGGGAAGAACAAGCTTTTACCATTCCATGTGGTTAAGAATTTCTTCCACATGTGCAGGTCTGCTGTGGCTTGAATATCTAGGGGCAGTCGATGGTCGTCGTGTCGGAAGTGTGGAAAAAGACAAAGAAGTCTGGATATGAAAGCCCGACCTTGTGGTATGAAACGCACAGCAAATTTTAAGGAACCTAGAAGGGATTGTAATTCCTTGCGGTTGCAAGTACCCAGCATGATGTAGTGATTGATGCTGTTGAGAATGTTTGTTGTGGTAAGCTTGCTTGCATACATTCAAGTTGTATGCCCAGGAATGTAATGATGATAGTATCTGGGCCTTCAGTTTTCTTAGGGGATACTGGGACGCCCAAGTGGTCGAACTTTCTTCGGCAAACAAAAAGTCATCTAGATAATGTATGACTGTGGGGCATCTGGATATGTTTAGTAAGAGCCAGCAAGGTGTTTCGGCGAATGTGTCAAAGATTTTGGGGCTACTTTTTGAACCAAAGGTTAAGCGGGATAAGAAATAGTAGTTGTCTGCCCTTTGATGCTATGTAAATGCCAGAGTGTAGGGTGGATTGGTAGTAATTTGAAAGCATTGGTGATGTCTGTCTTGCTTAACCAGGCTCCACCACCTGCTTGGGTGATAGCTGTAATGGCATGATCTATGGTGGCATATTGTAGGGAAAACTCCTCGGAGGGAATGAGGAAGTTGAGACTTGGGGTAGTAGAGGTGTGAGGTGCCGATAAATCTATGATAAGTCTCTGTTTAAGGGAAGATTTCCCTGTGACAATCCCAATGGGGTTTGTGCGCTATGCAGTAAATGGAGAGGTGTTGAAAGGCCCAAACAGAAACCCCTCTGCCAGTTATTGGGCTATGAGTGAGTCTACAGCCGTTGGGTTCTGCTGTGCTGATTGTAAGTTAGGGCATTCTAGATGTCCTAAGGGCATATGTATGAAACCTGTATGGAACCCCTTTGAAAATCCAGATATGAGAAATTCTACTAAATGTCTGGAAGGGTGATTAGTCAGTAGTGCTGAAAAAGCATGAATGTTGGCAGACGTTAAGTACGGTTTAGTGTACATTTTATTGGGGCACATGGTTTTTGCATGCGCCCTAAAACATTGTGAACATATATGCAACGATCTACAAGCACTGAAGCTACATGTTCCCACATTGAAATTGTTGCAAATCTGTGATTTGCAAAAAAATATGATAGGACGGCCCAGTTTGTCTCTAGTGTTTGGGGACTGAGAGTGGTCGTCCGTCGTGTTTGGAAAAACATTTGTTGTATGGGTAGTAGAAGAGCAGGATGCACAAGCTGATGTTTTAAGACCTGCAAAATGTCTGCAGAAAATCTCTGTATCCAGTCTGCTCCAGCTGATTCTGTTACCAAACTGGGAGAGAGTGCCAGACACTTTGGTAGAAAATGACCTATGATAGTCATAAGCCGAACCACCATATTTGTTTCCTAGGTCTACCAGATTGTGCTTATATAGATCAAATTATTCCCTTCTGCTAGGGTACACTGCACAAATAACATCTCTGTATATGCCAAATGCCAAAACAAACTCAGGGATGGTCAGTTTCCGGTTTAACCTGGAATCCCTGGATCTGACCACCACAGATACATCGTTATACATATAGGTTTTGTTTTCCACAATATCCTGGGAGGCAATTAGGAGAGATGCTAAGTTGACATCTTTACCTTCCAGGATATCTGTGTGCTGGGATCAAATGTGCCGGGTTAACGTCCTGAGTATGAGAAGCATTGATTGTACCAGTTAACAGAGTTTTGGTTGGTGCTGGTTGTACAGTAGCGGGAGGTCCTGCCTTAGTGAGGGCTGTGGTGACCGACTCGAGATTAGCCAGTCTGTCGTTAACTTTGCTCATGAAGTTCATGAGCAAGACTGACTAGCAAAGCCTGGATGTCACCCAAGTTGGTGTTGCTGTGGCCTTCCCCCGCCTCCGTGTTATCAGTTGATGTGCGGAGAAGTTTGAATAATTCCACTTTTCTTGCTGTGGCTGGGTAGGGGATTTGTCACCTCCTTAGCTCTGTGGTAATGCGTGGGATCGTCCAGGATCTGATTGATGCTGGACTAGCAACATCTCCTCTACAAGAAGGTGTTTTGAAGAGCTAATTCTTAGCCACCTTCTTGAGACATACTTAAATGACAATGAAGATAGCAATTATTATTTGAACCCCAGGGGTCTTGTACTAGCTTGCTAACTAAGTTGTAAGGTGAGACAATTAGGCTTGGTGTTTTTTGGTGACTGGTGAGGCCCTGTTAGTTGCCAAGTGGCTTGAGAAGCTCTATCTATGCGTTGGCACGACGGGATTTTTGTGGCCACCAAACATAGTGGCAGGATGTTGGCCTCTCGGTGACAGTAACCAGAAAATAGGAAAGGGAGTGACAGGTGAGGCCCTCTGTATGATACAATGCAAGTCGGCTAGCTCATGAGAGGCCCGATGGGTGAGTGTGAGGCGGGGTGTTGGCCTTGCGGGACCACTAAACCGAAGCATAATGCAGAGAAGAGGGGCAATACCTATTGGACTCTAAAACCCTCATTGCCAGTACACTATTAACTATTCCATGGAAGATAGGATATGAATATACTATGTGAGCAGGTATACGTACTTGGTAGTATGGTATTGAACCTGACAATCCGTATAGGTTTTTAGTAGTACCTGTAACCTGAATGGATAAAAAAACCGTATGACATAATGGAGTATGGCATAGACCAAGCCTATTCTAATATGTGCAGTATATATGAGAAAAATAAAGTACCGTAACATGTAAATATAAAAACCTTGTAACCATCATGGTTAAAATATGTATCAATCTTAACCCATTGTGTGCTGCATGTACAAGTGGAAAATGCTCTGTGCCTTTCTTGTATGCTATATGTCACCTTGCTAGGGAGAATGTATTATACTGTAAGCATAGTGCTGTGTGTATGTGTTTATGAAAATAGATTATCGTTACATATATGCAGAAAGTGACTGGCTACTTTATATGTGTAAGTCATACCAGCTGGGAAAAAAATTATGTGGTATGTGAAACAGCTGTTTGGCTATCGGTAGGGGTCAGTAATCATAAGTGTTGTTTAATTCCCCTGAATCAAAATGCAATGTACCTGAGATTTTAAGTGTGACCTGTAGGTGTCAGTGTAGTTATTGCAAACTGCCGTTCGATAGTTATATGTTCCGACCGTAATGGTTGTATGAAACATAAATGAAAGCAGAGCCTGTTCGGGAGTTGTTAAATATACGAACATGTAGTCTGGTGTAATAGGCAGTGACAAACAGTGATCCCGTTCGAGGGATTTAGAACCCCGAACGTGAACTAAAACCATGGACAATAATATAACATGTTGTTCCCATATGGGAGATAATTGCATGAAGGGTAAACCGTATGTGTGACAGGAAAATTTGTGAAACAAGCATATTTCCCGTTCATGCGGTTTAAAAGCACGAACGACCATTGCCAGATATGACAGGCAATGAAATGACCATGTTCCCGTTCGAGAGTATGCGAATGCCCGAACGGGCAAGATACATAGTGAGCAATCAAGATACATGTGCATGAATTTAAACGAACGGTTGAGTTTAAAGATCGGTTGTGCACGAACATGCAAAGTATAGCAGCTGAACTAGACAAACGGAACCGTAAAGTGAGGACCTGACCCGTGAATGATGCCGTGGGACGATGTCTGGCGTAACGGGTAGGTCAACTTACGGTTTGTGAGTCACTTTGACGCAATCCGCGTCGATGGACAGAAGAAAGATGCTGGTCGGACGGAAAAGCCTGCGGCTGGATTCATGGACACAGCTCAGCTTGGAAGACCTCGTGGAGCAAAAGGTATTCCCAGGATGGCGTCTGGATGAACCGGAAATGGATATCATTCAGATGCTGACCTTGAACGATATGGAGCCAGGTAAGGGGTGTACCTTATATAGGCAAGTGTATCTTAAGCCCCTCCCACAATTACATATATATTTACATATGTGTATATATATATATATATATATATATCTCCTCAAAGAAATAGCAATTACAAGTCTTTTGTGCAAACTGTTTATATGAATGAATGAAACAAGGCTACATCAGAAAAGCTTTATCAAGATGCCCAGGTGGGGCCGAAATGTTGATTTTCTGATGTAACCTTGTTTCATTCATTAATTTAAACTGTTCGCATAAAAGACCTGTGAGTGCGCCTATTTCTTTGAAGATTTATACATAAGCGGAGGACAGCACCCTGGCAGAGAGGAGAAAGGTAGAGTGCCAGTATTACATATTTAAGTTTTTTATATATATATATATATTGGAAGGCAGGGCCTGAAGTTGTGGGAGGGGCTATATCCCTTTAAAAGGGACTCCCCCTTCTACCTCATTCACCGTCTGGTCCAGATGCTCGTTTGAATTGCTGGTTCCCAACGTGGTTTTCAGTTTCTCCTGACAGCTGCATTTTCAAAGTTTCTGTTGCTCCTACTGCCGGTTTCCCTACTAAACAGTGAGTTGGCAGACCGGTATCATTGTACCGGTCTGCAGCCTACACATAGCCTGACCCGCCGAGGTCCACGGCTACAGTATTGTGGGGACAGAAACCCCCTCGCCAGGGCTGATTCGGCTTGATTCCCGCCGGGGGATCAGGCCTCATGCAGACCAGCCCTCCCTCCCCCTCCCCCCCTGCTGCCGCTCACTGCACAGCAGCCGGTTCAAGTTATTCTGTAACCCAGCTCCTAACCCCCCCTCTCACTACACAACAGCCGGTTTATGTGTCACCCGGGTCCTAACCCCCCCCCTCACTCCACAGCAGCCGTAGGACCCGGCTACTAACTCCTCTCCCCCTCTCTCCAGGAGTGGGGAACCCCCCCAGGCTCATGGCAGGTAACGGTCAGGCGGCTAATACAATCAAGACCCCCACGGACCTAATTCACGGGGGTCCGCGATTTCTGCCACAATAGCCGCACCAACCCGCCCCCCACCCCAACCTACAAGTGCCCTGTCACATAAACTATTGAAAAAAAATAAAAAATAAAAAATACATTTTTAAATTAGAAGTTACTATATTTTGCAAGGCTCCTTGATACCCTTTGGGGTATCAGCAGCTTACAAATCTCTCCTCCCCCCCCCTCCCCCCTCCTCTCTTACTTACCTACAGACAGGGGTTCACTCACACGGGCAGAGCTCCCTTCACAGCCTCAGCCAGAAAGCATGTCAAAAAATTACAGCAATGCTGACGGCAATACAAGTTGTAACCACTAGATGTCGCCCTATAAATAGTAATGTTACCTGGTATATTTCAAAGTCTGTGATATGTGTTAACAATGGCAATATTAAAAATGGTCAGATTTATATATTACGTTAGGAATAATAAAGTATTCATTTAATTCATGCACAACCGGTTACGTATAGATTTGTGGAAACAACTGTTTAAAGCATATAAGTCAGATATAAGCTGTTCTCGGGCACTAAATTGTGAGGTAATTATGTGACTAATCTACCTAATATGTGGATCTATGTGACTCAAGAATATATACCATATACTCACACCACGGTTTCAATTAAATCTTCAGAATTACTTGCGTGGTTATAGACAAATTGCAAAGTTCAAGAATATTTTCCCTTTATTTGGTGACCTGGTATACTGATTCCCCTGGCAGGGTCAGAGACCGAGACAAAGACAAGTATTATATTACTTCCTTGGTATGTACAACATATGGGCGACGTATGTCCCATTAATCAGACATATGACACTCAGTGCATATGCTCACAAATGTATGCTGAGTGCACTTTGTGCCAAGCAGATATTTGGGACACTGCCATAACGGTTTAACATGTGTTTACAGTCTCAAGAACCAAACTAAGACGGACTTGGCCTTCAGAACCTACTTGCACTCAACCTACAACCATAGGTATGTGATCCTAGGACATTCACCACAAAAGGTGGGGGGCAGGCTTCAGCTACAAGATAGCAGTACACACTTATATGTACCTTATGCCTTCCATTCTGTCATCCAGCACCGGGTTTAGGCCATCCTCCCTAACAGTAATCAAACTACTACAGGACTGCCAGGCAAACGTTGGGCACTCAGGTAAGTTATCTCGGTTGCAGCAACCAGTATAAGAAACATCAACATGCCCACTTAAGTAATTCTCCTCCCAGGCACCTTCTGCCATAGGGTTAGAGGTCCCGCGAGGCCAACTTCCATCCTCGATGTAAGAGGTATTAAACCCCCACAGGCCAAATCATAGCTAGACGCCTCGCATGTTGCATAGCTAGGGCGTCATCCGTCATAACCCTCAATTAACGATAAAATCTCCACTGGTAAAACACGTACAACAGATCAACCCCACGCGCCAACCATAGTTAAATCCTACTAGCCACTTGGCATTTAATAGGGACTCACCTGCCACAAGTTTAATGAATTATTTCGCCACTTTGGCACTAGTTAAACATTTTACACTCTCCATAATGAAACTCACGATTACATACGTATATATTTCAGTATGTCCCAAGTTCATGAAGAAGGAGATGAACTATCAATGCCTAGTACACCGACCAGGACTGCCACCCCCACACGCAAAGGGGACATCGGCAGCCCGTCATCTATTAGATCATGGACCATCCCACGGATCACGGCCGAACTACGCAAACGTAGTATTCCTTATCCAGCTACGGCCCGCAAGGCAGAATTGTACAGGCTTATGCAAGCCAATCAGGACAATTCTGACGCCAGGGAAGGCACTAGTAATTCAAGCAATGCTAATCTGCATACCATGGTCGCCTCACTAGTGTCTTCCATGGGGCAGATAAATGAGAGACTGGAAAGACTGGAAGCTCGTAGCGGTCCAGTTGTGACACCAGAGCCACCTGCTACCGATATCCCAGGGCCATCACAAGCCCAACCTGGTAATCCTAATACCCCCACTATCCTTGGGTCACAAGTGATCAACCCAGCCCATATGGTACCAGCAAACCTTAGAAAAGACATCCTGGAGGGCAAGGATGTAAATCTAGTCTCTCTGCTTATTGCCTCCCAGGATATCACAGAGAACCGCGCATATACGTATGGCGATATTTCTGTGGTCCTCAAGGCCAGAGATCCTAGACTAAGCAAAAACTAGCAATCCCAGACTTCGTTATCACATTCGGCATATACAGGGACGTACTGTGCTCAGTTTACCCACAGAGAAGGGAAGAGTTAGACCTGTACATGCACAAGCTGGTAGACCTGGGCAACAAATACGGTGGGTCATCATTTTACGATTACCACCGTTCTTTTTCAACTAAAGCGGCAACAGCTCTCGCCCAGTACAACGCAAGAATGGATTGGAGCCTAATGGATACAGAGCTGTTCCTCAGGCACTTTGCCGGGCTAAGGTCTCCAGCTTGTGCAATATGTGGGGCTACCACGCACGCTGCAAATCTCTGTCCTGTCTCCACAGACGATGCCCCAAACATTGCCACACCAAGCACTTCCAGGGGGGAGAAACAGGGCAGAGACAAGCTGGGTCGCCCTATCGTGTATTTGGGCAAGTCACAGATCTGTAATAATTTTAATGTTGGGGCTTGCTCCTATAGTGCTTGCCGTCTACTGCATATCTGCTCCCATTGTTTCAGGGCACATGCAAAGGCTATGTGCCCTAATAAAATGCACATTAAACCCTACCTAACTACTGTGAATGTTGATGTTCTGGCAGGGCTTCTCTCCAAGCACCCTTCTACACATCTTGTGGAGTATTTGATTGCAGGGTTTTCTAAAGGGTTTCATACTGGCCTCATTCACATACCAGGGGGTACATGGGAAGCCAACAACCTCCAGTCCGCCCTTTGTGACACAGACGCAGTAGACTACCTACTACAAATTGAACAAGACCAAGGATTTGTCTTAGGTCCATTTATTGACCCGCCGTTCTCTAATTGGAGAACAAATCCCATTGGACTAGTCACTGGGAAAACATCTAACAAACAAAGACTCATTATAGACCTGTCTGCTCCACATGCTTCGGTGATACCCAGCCTCAATTCCCTGATCCCGTCAGAGGCATTCTCTTTACAATACACCACCATAGACGACGCCATATCCACCATCATCTCAGCAGGCATAGGCGCATGGTTGAGCAAAACCGACATAGTTAACGCCTTTAAACTACTCCCCATACACCCGTCGCTGTGGCATTTGCATGGTATCAAATGGAGAGGCCAGTATTACTTCTTCACAAGGCTCACCTTTGGATCCAAGAGCAGTCCTAAAATATTTGACACTTTCGCAGAGACCTTGTGCTGGCTGCTCCTGAATACCAGCAGGTGCCATAGCGTCATTCATTACTTGGATGACTTCCTTTTCATAGAAAATAACGCTACCCCCCCTAACAGTTTACACAAAGCCATGCATTTATTTAACACCATTGGGGTTCCAGTATCTCCCACCAAGACAGAAGGTCCAGATACAATCATTCAGTTTTTGGGGATACAACTGGACTCCATAACTATGGAAGCCAGCCTCCCTAGAGATAAGATTGACAACACCACTCAGACCATTGAGCAGTACTTGTGCATAGGCTCATGCAATAGGAAAGAGCTTCAGTCACTGATTGGCTCGCTAAATTTTGCCATTCGTATTATACCCCAAGGAAGAGCATTCATTTCCAGACTCCTGTGCCTTCTTCCGACACTAACGGACGAACACAAACGTACCACTCTTGATAGGCAAGCCACAGCAGACTTACACATGTGGAACTTGTTCCTGTCAAACTGGAATGGCAGGAGCATGTTCCTCCCCCAAGTCACAGAGGATTCCCCTACCATTTGGACTGACGCAGCAGCCTCCACAGGTTTTGCAGCCATTTTTGGGGACAACTGGCTATGGGGTAGATGGCCGGAAGAAGTTAAGCAAATAGAAGGCTTTTTTAGGAATTCTGCACTCTTTGAAGTGTACCCCATAGTAGCAGCAGCAGTCACATGGGGACAGTCTTGGGCAGGTAGACCAGTTCGATGTTTTTCTGACAACTTGGCGATTTGCCACGTCATAAACAAAGGCCGGTCTACCTCTCTAACCATCATGAGTTTTATCAGACGTCTTACGTGGTTGGCGGCCTGTCATCAGTTTCATCTAGTATGTTACCATGTACCGGGTATCTATAATACAGCCGCTGACCAGCTGTCCCGCTTTCAGTTTCAGGCGTTCAGGGAGTCTCTACCAACAGCGTCACCGGTAGCCACGATCGCTCCCCAACTCCAGGATCTAATCATGGACTAGAGGAATTATTACAACACAGCAAGATACTTACAAAACTCGCTCTCGCAAAAAACACGCATAGCGCATATGATAGAGCTTACTACCTATACAAGAAATTCATGGCAGACCATAATCTCACAAATTGGTTTGACAATGTAACATTGGTGGCTTTTGCCACATTTTGCCACATTAAGTTAAAAATGTCGCATAATACCACAAAACTATACCTCACAGGTATCCAACATCATATGTTCACAGAACATCCTAACAACCAAGGGTTTCTCACCTCCTACCCCATTAAAACCCTCCTTAGGGGTATGCTCAAATCGCAAGGACCTACACCGCAACGTAGGGAGCCTATAGACATTCAACTGTTTAAACGTTTGTCAAACCTACTAGATACCACACCGTTCGAACCCCTTACTAACACCACTCTTAAAACGGCCATATACTTGGCTTTTTACGGTTTCTTACGACCCAGAGAATTTACCATTACTAGGCAACACGAGTCCAAGCATTGCCTCCGGTATTCTAACTTGTACAAAAAACAGGACCACTACGTATTAAGCTTACCTTCAACTAAGACCAGCCAGATGGGGCACGAGGTTCTTATTCAATACTACCCCACCAACAACGCATGGTGCCCGGTGAAAGTTTTTAACAACTATCTACAGTCATCACCTACACGAACCTCACTCGCTCTCCTTTCACTGCACGGCACAGCACTCACTACCGCCAAATTTGTGATGTATATTCGTTTACTATTGACCAGACTCGGCTTAAACGCCGCAAACTATTCTGGGCATTCATTCCGGATAGGGGCAGCCTCCACAGCCTCAGGCCTAGACATCCCGGTTCACATCATAAAAACCTTGGGCCGCTGGAAGTCATCCGCTTACGCTGTTTACATACCACAGCCAACACAAGAATTAAGACATGCGTTTGTGAAAATGTCATCGTAAATATGCTAACTCATTATATGGGTATTCCTTTTTGCCCTCTTATTAACAGGCCTACCACACACGTCGGTTTCGGCACACCTCTACCGACTTTTAATTATTATGATAAGTATACTCACTAGCTATTTCATACTATACTGAAATGGCCCCGAATACAAATTGGAAGGCAGGGCCTGAAGTTGTGGAGGGGCTATATCCCTTTAAAAGGGACTCCCCCTCCTACCTCATTCACCGTCTGGTCCAGATGCTCGTTTGACCCACCCTCCTCTCCCTCTATTCAAATACTATTTAAGGTGGGCCCTCTTATTTACAGGCCTACCACACATGTCGGTTTCGGCACACCTCTACCGACTTTTAATTATTATGATAAGTATACTCACTAGCTATTTCATACTATACTGAAATGGCCCCGAATACAAATATATATATATATATATATATATATATATATATAATCTCATGATCCTAGTTATTCTGTAAATCTTTGTATCACATGGGATTTAATTGTGGTCTATTTCCATCTAACTTGCAAAAACTATTATTTTACAGAATGGAATGATTACTAAAACATAAAATTCATGATAAAAGACTGCAGATTACATATCTCTGTGCATATTATTTTGTAATATGTGTGCATGTGTGTGTATGTATGTATGCATGTATGTATATATATGTGTGTGTGTGTGTGTATATATATATACACACATATACAGATATCCATACATCCTTGGGGCGCCCATTTTTTCAGTCCTCTTTGGTCAGAAGCACGGATTATCCTGTCAAGAACTCTGCAGGTAATGAAGAGTTAGTGTGCAACAATGCACAAGTGCCAGCAATGTCAAACATGTGTAGTTTTAGAACGTCCGATTGTTCATGGTCTTAGAAGGTAAGTGCTACTTCTGACTAAAACATGGTATAAATGGATGCAAGGATAAGCCTGGAGATGAACTAATATTGGTTATCAATGTATATATATATACACTACAAAGTAATACACAGTGAGGCTTGTAATCTTTTATTTTCAGTAATAATATAAATGATGACAGTTTTCCTTTCGGCTGCTATAATACATCAAAAGTATTACACATTTCTCTCTATTCACTAGTCACCGTCACTATACCGGATCTGTTCCACAAAGTATCCAGCCATGTCATATAAAAATAGAGACATTTATTGAATAAGATGCAAGAAACATTGTACATATAACAATGATGCCACAGTCCCCTTCAAAGTTGGCACCTTGGGACCTCAGTTCTCCCATAGTCTCTTCCAATGTTCAAAACATTCTGCAAAATCCTTTCTGAGAATTGCCATCAGCGATCTCGTCATGTTAACCTAAATCTCATTGATGGTCTGAAATCTCTTCCCTTTCAAGGTGATTTTAGTTTTGGGAAAAGCATGAAATCGCAGGGCGGAAATCTTTCAACAGATTCCTGACCATCTTTGAAGCATTTGTGCTGCACTCATTGCACTGTCCTCAAAAGCCTTCTGAATCATCTGAATAGTTTCCGTAGAAGAATGTTCCAGCTTAACTCAAAATTTGATGCAGATTTGCTGTTCTCCTCGCTCAGTAATTTTGAGTGTGATTGCCACACAGTACACATGCTCACTCAATGGCTAGCTTCCCCACTGACTAGTACAGTGAAGTCGATATTGTTCACGCAAGCGCATTCCAGTCCACTTTCCTTGGATGACAGGTTACATTGATGTCGCGCAAACAGTTATATTAACAATGACTGGACTTTTTTCTGGATAAACCTTGTATAATGATATGCTTTGCACAGCCCAACCTTATTCTTGGTTACACTCTTTAGTCTTAGCTGCAGCCTTTCCTGATTCCTTCTTCCATTGTTCTATGGCTCTACTGGTTACTTCACGGACCTAATCCTAATTTTCATCTCTAGGATCTGTGGCTACCATATTTCAGCATCACGACCGACATCAGCTCTTCTACAATGCGAGTTCACAAAGAAGGTAAGAGGTATGCGAGCATAGATTGTAACAAATACGAATTGGTAGGGAAAAGTACATACAAATGTAAAATATGATAAACAGCACTGACCTGCTGACACCCACTTAGCTGCCAGTTTTGTCCGAGAAAGGTGGCTGTACGCGTTTTCTACAGAGATCGCATGCCACTCTGTGTGTACTTCACACCAGTAACAATTTCAGTCCTTCTCCTACAGGCTGCTTATGGCGTTATGTTCGAGCCAGTGCCTCCTATACCCCTTATCTTCCTCCACTCTGTGACCCCCAGGATTCCCACCTGCTCCTGGATGGCTGCTATGTGAATAACCTGCCAGGTCAGTACTTTTATTTTAATTTCGATAGGAGTCATTTTACAGTGACTTCTTCAAGCATAATGTTATTGCGTTCTCTTCCCTTAATCTAACTCCTATATCACAAACCTGTGCTGACATTTTACTTTTCTCCAATATGCATCTCTTGCGTTTTCCTTTTAATTTACCTTTTTATGTTCCTTTATTGATTTTCTTGAGTTTTCAATGTATTTCACTGATGACTTTAATTTTTTATTGATATTTTTCCTACACTTATTTTTAAATTTTCCTCTTATATATAATTCTCAGTTACATCCTACTTGCCCTAATGCTCTATGACATCTCCAGTTTTGCACCATTTTCAGCGGACGTGGCTCATTCCCTTGGAGCCCGCACTGTTCTTGCAATTGATGTTGGCCAGCAGAAGGAGTGGAACACATGGAACTATGGAGACAGCTTGTCTGGCTGGTGGCTGCTGTGGAATAGACTTAACCCCTGGAGTGAAAAAGTCAAGGTATTCAGCCTTTGGCATACAAAGTTTACATATGTCTTCTGTGTTAAAGAGCCGTGTGCAGGATTTGACAAATGCATTATTTCTTACATTTCATATATTCAATAAAAGCTATCAAGTTTTTATTATGACTGTAAAGTATTACATGTAATGTATTCTTGGCATGCATTATTTGGTTACTCCATTCATTAAGTGTTTTGAAGTGGTTATGGTGCTTCATGTCTTTATGTTTAGAGCTTTGGTGTAACTCTATTAAATCTAAAGTGCTAGTATTAAGCCACAAATGTGAGAATGCCCCAAAAAAGATTCACATGCTTTATTGGGGAGGAATACCCTAAACCTGTTCTAACAATTATACAAAGTGACATTTAGTGAAATTAACACACATCCTTTTAAAGGAGCGGTCATTTTATTAAAAGAAACCTAAAACACCAATGTCAGATGTAAAATATAGACCATCACAGGATGCCTACCACTCCACCAAAGTACCCCAATATTGTTATATCCTAGGATGGTTTTTTTTCACACACAATATATCTTCAATTTTCAGTTCTTCCCTATGTTTTAAATAAACCTATGTAGATGGTGTAATGCCAACGTTAAGATGTATGTCTTATATAATAATGTGATGTGCAGGTGAGTGCTGATTGCAATATATATATGTGTATATATATATATATATATATATATATATATTTATTTTACATGTAACGCCAAGCCTCCATAGCAAGCCAGTAACCAACCTCATGCTGATGAGTTGCATTAACAACGAAACGGCTGTCCATGAGTGGTTCACTGGCTTTGCTCCTCTTCCTGAGTTGTGTTTCAAAGCTGTTGTATACAGCAGACACAGACTCAAAGGAATCCATGTTTAAATTGGAATGAGGCAAACATGTGGGTCTTTGTTGAGTTCATTTGCAAATGCCTACCCAGAATCCCTTGCAGCAGTGAGAGCACTGTTAAAGTAAGATTTCTGTGGGAAAGCAAGTGTTATGACTTGCCTGGTGTGTGTATTTGTGTTTAGTAATGTATTTTATATATATATATATATATATATATATATATATATATTTGTGTAAGGGGCAAATAGCCGTATATGGAGTAAGGATCCAGCATAAGCGTAGGATAGTATAAAGGGAGCAAGTCGGTTGTGGTGTGCCGAGACCGACGATACGGTAGGCCTGTAAATAAAGAGGGCCCACCAAGGAGTAAGAAAGTAAAGTAAATGGAAAGAAAAGAGAAAGTGTTGAAATGAGGAGTGGGTGGGAGGGTCATTCTGATGCTGACCTCAAGCGATATGAGTCAGGTAAGGGGTGTCCCTTATATAGGGGAGTGAATTAATTTAAGCCCCTCCCACAAATACAGGCCAAACGGCCTTAATACTTGTGTAAGGGGCAAATAGCCGTATATGGAGTAAGGATCCAGCATAAGCGTAGGATAGTATAAAGGGAGCAAGTCGGTTGTGGTGTGCCGAGACCGACGATACGGTAGGCCTGTAAATAAAGAGGGCAAAAATGAATAATCAAAGATTTAATACAGTCAACAAATATATACAAATTAACCAGACATTTCCTTAAAAGCATTACAGTATTTAATTCCTGAAAGGATTTTGAAGGTAGGAATCTAGGACCGAAAGTGGACACCATTTGTTGTGGGTAGGATAGTATGTTATCTCTACTGTTGGTGCGTGTTGACTCGTTTCGGAATGTGGTAGAGCCAATAGGTAATGATATATGTGTTTACGTACGTGGGATCATTGAAGACAATGATCTGTCTGAGTGGTGGTGATGGTAGTGGATTCTCTGGCCTGAGAAAGGCATAAAAGGCAATGTGCATAGCTGGTAATGGCCGACTTGGTAGTATAATTGAATGGTTGTAGATCTAATAGGTCCGATAATGATGAAAAGTTGGATGGCTATTGGTAATCTCTGAGAGGAACGTGGGGGAATGGATTCCTGAAAACCTCTGAGTATATTCTTGTCTGGTATGATAGCATGAAGTTATGGTAGTTTTGGCCATAGGTTATCCTGTGTTGTTGAATGCCTTTAAAATATATAATTAATGGTGTGTGAGATAGTTTAAGTTTAAGGTGGCAAAAAGAAGCAAAACCTAGGAGAAATGTTATGACACAGGTTGAGCTATGTCGTGTGCCAATGAGATTCTTTAAGCCAGGTGAAAAGCTGTGTTATGTGTTCTACAAGTATGGGACGAAAGTGCTAGGTGGGATAGTGCATGCTATGCTACATGAGTATGTCTAATCCAGGATTTTGTCTCTGGAACGAAAGAGTGGCCGTGACTGTATGGGCGGCTGTAGGAAGCGTATGATGAACATGCCTGGAATATAAATGAGACAGTTGTCGGCAGGGATGTATACCCCCGTCTGGTACATGAAAGTGAAATGTGATAAGTGGCCAACCAAGTGAGTTCCCCAGAAATATCATGACCTTATGGATGAGTAGTGGCGTTTGTTGATGATATGACATATGCTTAGTTGCCTGAGTAACAATGGATTGATGACCCTGACCATGATTTACCCCATGCCTCAGCAGCTGCTACAATGGGGTAGATCTCCCAAAGGGGCTGAGGTGGTGGAAAAATTTCCAAACCTGGATGCCATCGCCAACAGCTCCAAAGCAATTGTTCCCGGTAGATCGCTGCCAAACCCGTGGTAGACGCTGCGTCTGACCATCTGGTTGGAGAAGTGTCAGACAATCCTGGAAGGAACATGCTTTTACCATGCCAAGTGGTTAAAAAATTCCCCCCCATGTGCAGGTCTGCTGTTGCTGAGGTGTCTAGGGACATCCTCTGATCGTCATGTTGGAAGTGTGGAAAAAAGGGGAAAGTACTCTGGATGTGAAAGCGTGGTCTTGTGGTATGATTGGCATGGCAAAATTAAGGAACCTGGTAGGGATCGTAGTTCCTTGCAGTTGTAAGTACTAAGCAGGAGGTAGTGATTGATGTAGTTGAGAATGTTCCCTATTTGTCTTGTGGTAACTTGCGTGTATGGATGCCGACTCAAGTCATATGCCCAGTAATGTGAAGATAGTGTCTGGGCCTTCTGTTTCTTATGGGGTACTGGGACGCCCAAGTGGTCAACCAGACTAAGCTGCCGTGAGGCTTCTAGTGAAAAATATGCTTTCTTTGATTAACAAGAAGTCTTCTAGATAGTGTATGACTGTAAGGCCTCTGGATATGTTATCATAACCAGCACAAAGTATCTGCGAATATCGATAGTAGGCTAATCTGTAGCTCGAAAGTTGAGCGGGGAAAGGATTGCCCAATTTATGCCATGTAAGTGCCAGTGTGTAGGGTAGATGGTAGCCGTTTACTGCGTTGATGATATTGGTCTTACTTAACCAAGCTTCAACCCATGCTTGAGTGATAGCTGTAAAGGTAGATCAATGGTGTTGTATAGTAAGAAAAATCCTCGGAGGGTATGAGGGAGTTGAGACTTGGGGTAGCGGAGGTGTGTGGTGCCAATAAGTCTATGGTTAGTCTTTGTTTAAGGGAAGATTCCTTGTGACAATACCAATGTGTGTGTTTGGTGCCATGCTGTAAATGGTGGAGATTGGAAGACCCCTCTGCAAATCTTGGCTATGAGTGTGTTTACAGCCAATGGTTTTGTTGTGCTGACTGTAAGTGAGGGCATGCTATATTCCTTGAAGGTGTGTTTATGATACCTGTATGGGAGCCCTTTGAAGCTCCAGAGCTTTAGTAAATCTACTACAAGTCTGGAAGGGTGATGAGTCAGTAGTGTTGAAAATGCATTGGTGTGTACAGATGGTGAATACGTTATTTGTAAGTTGTATTGGGACACATGGTTTGTCATGTGCCCTGAACTATTTGAACATATATGCAACAGTCTGTATGCAATGCAACTACTCATATCAGTGGTCTCTGGTAGTTCAGAGGTGCTGGTACCTGGAGAGTGCTCGTCCTTTTGTTTGGGACAAAATCCCTTCTGTATGGGTACCTGCACAAATAAACATCTCCACATATTCCAAATGCCAACCCAACCAAGGGATGGTGAGTTCCCGATTTACCTGGAATCCCTGGATCTGACCATCACAGATACATCATCATACATATATATGCCTTGCTTCCCCAATGTGCTGGGATCATACGTGCAGGTTTAACATCTTGTGTGTCATAAGAATTGATTGTACCAGGTAACCGAGTTTCGGTTGGTGCTGGTTGTACAGTAGCGTGAGGCCCAGCCTTGTGAGGGCTGTGGTGACCAACTCGAGATTGCCAGTCTGTCATAAATTTTTTGGCTCATGAGTTTATGAGTGAAGCTAGCATAGCCTGGGTGTCACCTGAGTTGATGTAGCTGGGCCTTCCCCTGCCTCCGTGTTGTCCGTTGATGTATGGAGGAGTTTGAATAACTGCTTTCCTTGCTGTAGCAGGGTAGGGGATTTGTCACCTCCTTAGGTCGGTGGTAATGTGTGGGATCGTCCAGGATCTGATTGCTGCTGGACTAGCAACATCTCCTCTGCTTGAAGGTGTATCAATTCTAGCCGGGGTGCTAGGAAGAGGTGATTCTTCACCATCTTTTTGAGAAATACTTAAATAACAATAAAGATTGCAATTATTATTTGTACCCAGGGTTCTTGTACTGGCTTGCTAGCTAAGCCGTAAGGCGAAACGATTAGGCTTGGTGTTTTTTTGGTGACTGGTGAGGCCCTGCTAGTTGCCAAGTGGCTTGAGAGGCTCTATCTATGCTTGGCGCGAGGGGATTTTGTGTGGCCACCGAACGTTGTGGCAGGATGTTGGCCTCTCGGTGACAGTAACCAGAAAATAGGAAGGGGAGTGACAGGTGAGGTCCTCTCTATGATACAATGCGAGGCGGCTAGCTCACGAGTGGCCCGAGGGGTGTATGCCTCCGAGTGTGAGGCGGGGTGTTGGCCTCGCGGGACCACTAACCGAAGCATAATGCAGAGAAAAAAGGAGGGTAATACCTATTGGGCCCTAGAACCCTAATTGCCAGTACACTATTACTATTCCAGGGAAGGTAAGAGATGGATAACTACGTGAGCAGGTGTATGTACTTGGTAGTATGGTATTGAACCTGACAATCCGTATAGGTTTTTTAGTAGTAACTGTAACCTGAATGGATAAAACCGTATGGCATAAGGAAATATGGCATAGACCAAGCTTATCTTAATACGTACAGTATATGTGAAAAGTAAAGTGACGTGATGTGTAAATATTAAACATCGTAGCCATACTGGTTAAATATGTATCAATCTTAACCCATTAAGTGCCGTATGTACAAGTGAAAATGTGGTCTGTCCCCACCTTGTATGTTGTATGTCCCCTTGCTAGGGGAAGTCTGTTGCGGGAGCAGCGTGCTGTGAAAAATGTATGTGAACTATATTACCAGTTACATATATACAGATGCGTCTGCTACTGTGTAATAATATATGTATTTATACCAGATGTTGATATAGTGCTTGCTATGTGAATTGTTGTATGTCTTATTGAATGGTAGGGGTCAGTGAACATGGTGTTGCAAAATGCAAGTGCACTGGAGATCTGCCGAGTACCCTATAGGTGGCAGTGTAGTTGGATACTGATTGGTATGTGAAATGTTGTTTGTCTGTTGACCTATAGGGGTGAGTGTTTTGGTGTTTGTAAAACCCCATGAAAATTGTCAATGTACTTGACAGACCTGTAGGTGGCACTGTTGATAGAACCACTGTTGGTCTTGATGTGAAATGTAAATTATTGTGAATTAAACCTGAAGTTGAGCCCGTGCTGGAGTTTAATTTATGGTCTATAGTTATGTTTAAAACAATCTTATGTGTAATTTATATTGGCTGGTAAATTGTATATGACATGTGAAGACAGTTTTGCTGTTGACCAGTAGGGGTCAGAAATGCTGATTGTATGTTAAAATACCCTTTAACCCCTTAAGGACCAAACTTCTGGAATAAAAGGGGATCATTACATGTCACACATGTCATGTGTCCTTAAGGGGTTAATGCTACCATTTGACAGATAGGAGTCAGTATAAAAGCGAAAAAGCTGTAGTTAGTTTGTTTGCTTATGAAGTGAAATAAAATCTGAGAAGCCTGTAGTATACTGATTGACCGGTAGGGGTCAGCATGTAGGCGAAAATGCCGTGGTTAGTTGGTTTGTACATGAAATGCAATAATGTCTGAGAAGCCTGTAGTACACTGAATGACCGGTAGGGGTCAGTGTGTAGGCGCAAATAAAGTAGTTCGTTGGTTTGTACATGAAATGCAAAAATGTCTGAGAAGCCTGTAGTACACTGAATGACTGGTAGGGGTCAGTGTGTAGGTGAAAATGCAGTGGTTTATTGTTTTGTACATGAAAAGCAAAAACGTCTAAGAAGCCTGTAGTACACCGATTGACTGATAGGGGTCAGTGTGTAGGTGAAAAATGCAGTGGTTTGTTGGTTTATACATGAAATGCAATAATGTCTGAGAAGCCCGTAGTACACCGAATGACCGGTAGGGGTCAGTGTGTAGGCGCAAATGCAGTGGTTCGTTGATTTGTACATGAAATGCGATATCTAAGAAGCCTTTAGTACACTAAATGACCAGTAGGGGTCAGTGCGTAGACGCAAATGCAGTGATTCGTTGATTTGTACATGAAATGCAATAATGTCTGAGAAGCCTGTAGTACACCAAATGACCAGTAGGGGTCAGTGCGTAGGCGCAAATGCAGTGATTCGTTTATTTGTACATGAAATGCGATAATGTCTAAGAAGCCTGTAGTACACCAAAAACCGGTAGGGGTCAGTGTGTAGGTGAAAATGAGGTGGTTTATTGGTTTGTACATGAAAATGCAAAAAACGTCTAAGATGCCTGTAGTACACCGAATGACCGATAGAGGTCAGTGTGTAGGTGAAAAATGCGGTGGTTGGTTGGTTTGTACATGAAATGCAATAATGTCTGAGAAGCCTGTAGTACACTGAATGACGGGTAGGGGTCAGTGTGTAGGTGAAAAATGCGGTGGTTGGTTGGTTTGTACATGAAATGCAATAATGTCTGAGAAGCCTGTAGTACACTGAATGACGGGTAGGGGTCAGTGTGTAGGCGAAAATGCAGTGGTTCGTTGGTTTGTACATGAAATGCAATAATGTCTAAGAAGCCTGTAGTACACCCAAAGACCGGTAGGGGTCAGTGTGTAGGCGAAAATGCAGTGGTTCGTTGGTTTGTACACGAAATGCAATTATGTCTAAGAAGCCTGTAGTACACCCAAAGACCGGTAGGGGGTTTAAACGAATGATACATGAACATGCAATGGTTTTAGAACAGACAGACAAAATGAAGCAGTAAAGTGAGGACCTGACCCTTGCATGGTGCCGTGGGACTGATGCCTGGCGTAACGGGTAGGTCGACTTACGGTTTGTGAGTCACTTGGACACCATCCACGGCGATGGATTGAAAAAAAAAAGGTGGTAGGCCGGAAAAGCCTGTGGCTGGATTCCTGACACAGCTCTGCTTAAGAACGCGATTGGTGCAGCATTTTGATGAAAAAGGGGGCGCGGCATGGCTGGAAGCTTGGTGCTGGAACAGAGGTAAGTTTTTATTAAATAAAAGCCTCAAAAATTAGTTTTATTAAATGAACGTTCATATAAAAGGCTGAGGGACCTGTCTTTCTTGCTTTTATATGTAGACTATAGTGTCCCTTTAACCCCTTAAGGACACATGACATGTGTGACATGTCATGATTCCCTTTTATTCCAGAAGTTTGGTCCTTAACGTGTTAAAGGTAGGGAGAGAGTGTTATAGAGAAGCAGGAAATGTTACCAGAATGCTTGGTTGTATAGGGAGAGGTATTAGCAATAGAAAGAGGGAAGTGCTCATGCCATTGTACAGAACACTGGTAAGACCTCACTTGGAGTATTGTACTCCGTACTGGAGACCGTATCTCCAGAAGGATATTGATACTTAGGGGAGATTTTGGAGAAGGGCTACTAAACTGGTTCATGGATTGCGGGATAAAACTTACAAGGAAAGGTTAAAGAAGCTTAACATGTATAGCTTGGAGGGAAGACGAGACAGGGGGATATGATAGAAACATTTAAATTCATAAAGAGAATCAACACCGTAAAGGAGGAGACCATATTTAAAAGAAGATAAACTACCCCAACAAGAGGACATAGTCTTAAATTAGAGGGTCAAAGGTTTAAAAATAATATCTGGAAATATTACTTTACAGAGAGGGTAGTGGATGCATGAAATAGACTTCCAGCTAAAGTGGTAGAGGTTAACACAGTAAAGGAGTTTAAGCATGCGTGGGATAGGCATAAGGCTATCCTAACTATAAAATAAGGCCAGGGACTAATGAAAGTATTTAGAAAATATGGCAAACTAGATGGGCCGAATGGTTCTTATCTGCCGCCACATTCTATGTTTCTACGTGAGTTTGAACAGGATGAGTTGGAGTCCTGTCAAATTGATTGCTTTATGGTATCTCGGTGGGGTTTTGTCTCTCACATATTCCTAGCAGTTTCTTCTTTTGCTGTTTTTCTTTTAGGTTCCAGACATGGCAGAGCTGCAGTCTCGCTTGTCCTATGTCTCTTGCGTGCGTCAGCTGGAACAAGTAAAGCTCAGTGGATACTGTGAGTATCTGAGTCCTCCTGTCCAGCGCTTCAACACTACAGATTTCAACCGCTTCCAGGAGATACATGTACGTTTGCATTATTTTGCTTTCCTATCTTAACCAACTGCACTCTAGACGTTAAAACCACTCCCTGGCGTTCAGATGATTAATTCTCTTTAGTTTTACATCTTCATGTAGTATCCCACCGTTTTCTAATGTAGCAATTTCAAAACATGGGGATGCTGTTGTATTTATAAATTTTATTTATTATTATTATTATAGTCTTATTTTATAATCTTTGATCAAAAGTTCAATCTATATATACAATATAAAGGAATGCCACACACATTAACTTCTCTTTCTGTAGAAAGGGGGTAGTTTATGCAATAATACTTAAAAAGAAGCTGTCACTTCCTCACTTTCAGCATAACCCAACAGCTAAATGCAATTATAGCCTTAGGCATTGCTACAATTATTATACAAATTCTCTATAGTTAATAGAGAATCTTGCCTAGCAAATTATGATATGCTAGCCTGGCAAATTATTCAAATTAGTTAACTCTTACAGTACCGTACGTACAGCGCATGCATGCAGACAGCGCGGCTAGAATAAATGCCTGATGCAATTGTTTGATCGGCCATCAAGCATGCAATGCAAAAGAGCAGCAGAGGTAATTTTTTTTTTTTTTACTTAGCTCTGCTGTTCTGCTCACTCCAAAAAAAAAAAAATGCTGAAATAGCATCTACTGGGGTGAAGGAACATGGATCTGTCACTATGTTGGGAGTGTTAATTCTGTTTTAATCTGTTAGGAGCAAAATGCAAGATTGATGTCAGAAATACATTTTACAGAGTATTGTAGGTACATAATATAGCTTACCAGTAGATGACAGAGGCTGAAATAGTGAGAGAGTTTGAGAAGGACTGGTTTGAACATGCTGTTGTCCAAAGCAGGAAATTAAATCTAGAATAAAGCCTGGGCAGACTAGATTAGCCAGATTGTTTTTGTTTGCCAAACAGCTTACCCTAAAATGTACTGTTTCTCTTCATCAGGATGTGGGTTATGAGTATGGAAAGCTTATTTTTACTGAATGGCACCGTGGTGATCTCATTGAGAAAATGCTGAAGGATAGAAGCACTCCTGAATTTTATCAGCATCAAGAGCGTTCTGTAAGTCTAATGTCACTACTGCTTCTTCTACCTAATCGCTCGTGTTATTGATATATTTTATTGTGTGTCATTACCACTGGATAAACTGCCATCACTCTGATTGTTCTTGTAGGATGAAGTTGTACCAGGATTCACAGACCTGGCAGAAATTGTCTCTCGTATTGAACCTGCAGCAAGCCAAAAATCATTCACAGAGCAGAAAATAGGTGAGTGACCACAGTACGCAAGATGTAGGAATCATTCTGTTAGTAAAATTAATTATTTCTTTAAGAGGTACTGCTGTAAAAAAATGGTTGTATGTGTAAATTGTTTAGTATTTGTGAAAATTGTCTTTTTTGTTGTTTATTTTTTATACTTCACCTCCCCTGGCCGTCACTAATATTCTGATAGATACAACTAATTAAATCCAGTATACTTCACTTCAAACTAACTTTATATCCCACAAAATATTTATAACTATTCTAATAGTTAAAATAATACAGATATACACACGCACTCAAATACACACAACGCCATACAGCCACAAGGCCCATGTACTCCTTATTATTTGCCTGCATTTTATAATTTAGTTTGATTTGTTTTTTCAGTACATAGAGGTGATCAAGGGCAAGTTTCTGGCAAGGCAAATTTATGCTCTACTGTTGTAACCTCCAAAGGGTCACCTATATTGGAAGGGCGGGTTGCTGAACCCTAAAAGAACCTGATCTGCAAACCACAACATGCATTTCTCAGTAGTGGTGCTGCTGTAAAGCCCAAAATATATACAAAATACAGACTAAAGAACAGCGCACATACATGAAAAAAAGCACACATTTGAGGACAAAGCTATCTACTGTTGTAGACATTCTGTGTTCCCTACAATTGGACTGAACCAGTGTCTCTTTCACATTCTTTAAATATTTTGTATGGACTTTACTCTTTTTATAGAGGAGAACATGCATAGTGGGGCCAAAGATTTACCATGGAAAGCGAGCAGAGAATGTGAAACGGTAAGGATGGGCAGTTCCTGCAGGTATTTTCTTCATAATTTTGTATGTATCACTAATTATTTCATCATGTCTCACTAAATCAGGATGAAGAGAAGACCTTAAGAATGAGTCAATGGAAAAGCCTAGCACATCAAACTGTGACCTAGTGAAACCCTTTATAAATCCACTCCTTTCCCTGTGTCTGTCAGTATACTACAGACATAGCTACAGCTAATTTCAACATTACATTTTTTTTTTCATTTTATCATATTCATGATGAGAACTATACCCATGAGTGACACAATCGTTAGGGAACGTTTGCCAGTATTGGGTGCAAATAAAAATGTTCATTGTTGCACAGAGCTTCCTCTCTCACCCTAGGGAGAAGCAGCTTTTAGGAGAGGTAGCTAAAAGTGATGTTTCTGAACTCCAATAATCTCATTTTTGTTAAAGTGGAACTGTCATTTTTCTTTATTTTGTTTTTAATATTTATTATATATCTTTACTTAACCTATATATTTAACAACTATATATGGCTGAAGAATGAAAAATAAAATTAAATATAGAAATCAACACTTCTTTATCCTGCAAATGGGTGCCTCCATCTCAGCTCCTTGTCAATCTTCTTAAAAGCTCTGTCTTTTGCTCATAAGAGTCAACATACAGACATCATACAGAGAAGAGGTGGGATTAAATAATGTCCGCTTCTCATATACAATGTGCGCCTGGACTAAGCTGGTGATGCAATTTGTTATGTTGGGCAAAAAAATTGTAACTGAAGGTGGAATGGGTTTTCAATCACAATTTTTCCCCACCATAACCTTTTTGGATTTTGTTTCCCAAGCACTACCAAGCCTCAATAAGCAAACCAGTAGTAACCAACCTCATGCTGGTAATTTGCATTAACAATGAAACAGCTGTCACAACAGGTTCACTGGCTTTGCTTCTTTTCCGAAGTTGTGTTTTAAAGCTGCTGTATACAGCAAAAACAGACTCAAGGGAATCCATGTTTAAAATGGAATGAGGCAAAAATGTGATTCTTTGTTAAACTAATTTGCATATGCCCACCCAGAATCCTTTACGGTAGTAACATCACTGCAATTTGTGATTTCTGTCAGAAAAGCAAGTCTTGACTGGCCTGCAGATTTTTGTTTAAAATTGTATTAGCTATCCACAGACTTCAGGTGGAAGGGGGTTTCAATCACAATTTGTTCCCCACCATAACCTTTTTGGTTTTTGCTTACATAGAACAACAAACAGACAAATTTGCAGTTATTATTGTTAGTTATTTACGCACTGCCAAACATAGGTAAGCCTGCAGGTAATGAGTTATTTACACTCGCACAATCATTAATAAACCTACAGTTCGAAGGGAAACTGTCGCTTCCCAGGATAAGCCTTGATACCTAATAAATATGTATTTTTGAGGCGTGAAAAAAAAGCATCACATAAAAAATGTTCAACACAAGCCTGATTCAATGCTATAATTTTAAGAGAAGTGACAGTTCCACTTTAGTATTTACCGATTTGTACACTCACAAGCATAGATAGATCTGCAGTTTTGGTAATTTAAACATGCACAAACCTAACATCTTATAGAGCTTTATTTTTTTATTTTTTTTCGAGATTAACGTGCACACACAAACACACAATATATTCCTTTTTAAAACTATATCTAGTGGTATTTATTGCTGATTTACAAACGCACAAACCTAATTGATTACTTTTGATGAACAGATCAATGCAATTATTTATTAGTGATTTACACACGCATAAGCTTGACTGATTAAAGAATCACTTCAGGCACCAAAACAACTTGGTAGGTTTTTGCCTCATATTTATTCTGTGTTTTTTCCCTGTTACATTTCTTTAGTTTTTAAGTTTTCTGCATCATAGTTCTGCCCCTTTAGCTACACCTCTCCTCACCACAGAATATCTACCTGATTGCAAGTCGTGTTTGGACTGCAGTGTTTCTTTAAGGGTCAAGAATTGTCTAAAAATTTACCTACACGTATAGAAATTTTGACCATGGTATTAGATAGTAAAGCAAACGAATTGTCTTATAGAAAGAATACTCATTTATATGCAAACTTTCAACATATTTGGGAAAAATGGGAAGAAGATATTAAAAAACGTATTGCTTATAGAATATAGTGTTAAGTTCAAACATCTATAATTACTGTTTTGTACAATATTTCATATGTTTATTGTTATGGATGCATCCCCTTTCCTATATCCAAGTTTCCCTTCCCTTTCCTTCCCCGAATAGTATGTTTAACTATTCTTTATTATTTGTTGTGAAATACATTATAACCTTAATTAAATGTATTTGAAAAGAATTGACTTGAAAATGTATGTTAGTTTTTGACTGATTTTGTTTTATAGATATATGTTATTATGGAGGATTATTCTAGCCTTGGTGTTTGAATAATTTACTCAACACACTCAGAGGGGTCCCCCTAGCAACACAGGGGTTTGACAAGAAAGGTGTCACATTCTCAGTATGGGATTGCGGAACCCACAGAAACACAGTAATGCAGAGAAAAAAATAGAGTTTAAAGAGAAATAAAGTTCACTCACCCCACCGGAGAATTGGACCTGGGGTTTACCCAGGAGCAGTGGGAGAAACTACTAGTGCCTAAAACCTAACCCATGGGGTAAGAGGTAGCAAGGAGGGGCTCAACCACTCAGAGCCAACAAACTAGGACACAGCCTGGGGCCCAGCAGAGAGAAAGCGCTGCAAAGCAAACTGTAGGGCAGGACAGTGAGAGGGCCGGCTGAAATCCAGCAGAGGTAGGCAGCATAACGCCCAATTGAGCAGGAGTGCTGAATAATACACATGAAAAAAAAAGATAGGTATGGGGTAAATATATTTCCGCAGAACAACCGGCTATGTACAGCCTCCTTTAACTGTGCCATTCACCTCTTATGTTCCAACTACCCATGTTGCGGAGGCACCTATTAACCTGTACTACACCATGATAGATGTGCACACGTTTTAGATTTTAATCCATGCCTGTCAGATTTTCAACCAAAGCGTGATAACCACATGCTTCCCCTTGAGTCCACTCCTCGGGTTATTCTAAACCCTAGGCTCACGGAGCATTACCTGCGCACATTTCTGTGCTCTCCTGTCACCCTCATCTTTGAGCTGCCAAGGGTGCTGTTCTCATAGTATTAATAATAGTATTTAGTGGAGGAATACATAAATGTATTGCTACTGTTGAATGTTCTTTTTTTCTCCATATATGATACTGCTGAATGCTCATGTAATTTATAACATGCACTACAAAAATAAAGAAAAAGATAAAGGCCACAGCCTAGCACATGTGAGGGAGGACTGAAACACCAATATGGGAGTGGGAGGAATGGGTCACGATTGGAGCACAAGGGAATGGCATAAAATAGCCAGGAAAGTGAGGGACGCGATCGCAGAGCCTTTATAGCCCAGCAGAATCTGGGGAGAAGACTCTGCTATTAGGATAAGACTACACTCTTCCAGTAGTCATCATAATAAAGAAAAACAGCAAAAAGGCACAATAAACAGAATACAATGAGTAAGAACACTCTATGCTGTTGAGAACTCACCAGGAGACAGCAAGAAAGAAATTGGAAGTGCTTATTTGGGGTTTTATATCTTTAAATAAAGGACTAGAAACAACCAGCGTTACCGGTTTCTTTACTGCTGGAGGTGTCCGTAAAGAAGGGGAAAGCAAATATAAAGCCTCCTGTTTCGCTATAAAATTAGTTATTTATAGGTGGAGCTAGCTGCCAAGCCGACAAGTCGCATGAAACCCGAGCTCCGACATTACTATGGCAAAACAGCCAAAGAACCCTCAAAAACCACCTCCATAAGCCGGGGAAAGACTGAGGGAGAGTCAACACACTATGGGGAAACACTCACGGAAACCCCGAGGGTCATCCGCGGGACATACCCACGATATCGGGCAACTCTTGTCCCAGGCCTGCAGGCCCAAAATGGCGGATGCCTTCCAAACCATGGCGATGGAGTACCTGAGCGACATGCCGACACCCCAAACGGAAGCAACAAACTGCACCACCAAGGCAGTCAGAACCACCACTAGCCACTAAGGCCGACCTATCAGGCATGGTGACTGACCTTAAGGCCTTCTTCACAGCAGAACTAGCAGGCCTCAAGATGGAGCTGAGCACACTTACAGGCCGCATGCGAGCCACGGAAGAAGCAGTCCAGGACTTGAGAGCCCAGCACGACGCCACGGCAAAGCAAATGCAGGAGCTAGCAACCACATGCTCACAACTAAACGCCCGAATGGGGCAGCTTGAAGAAATGGCGAGACAGAAATATCAAGGTGAGGGGGATCCCAGACACTGTGACAGCAGACGAACTGCCGCTCCTCATAAAGAGGTTGCTACAGGCTGCCCTTCCATCTAAACAGGCCAAAGGACTGACCCTGGATAGCCTATTCCGCATACCAGGGCGCCCACGCAATTCCCCAGACTCCGCAAGGGATGTCATAATGAGCTTCAAATCCCGCTAAGACAAAGACGGATTACTCCGTGCTGTCAGGGGCCAGACCCCGTACGCTTTTGAGGACCTTGCCTTATACTTTTACCAAGACCTGAGCCGCCACACGCTGCAGTGGCGTGCATCCCTGGAAGAAATCACAACACAACTGAGGGCAGCGGACATACAATACAAATGGGGCTACCCCCGAACGCTAATTGCCACACAAGAAGGGCAAAGCCACCGACTGACAACACCGGCGGAAGCACCACAATTTTTACAAGCACTAGGCATACGCCCTATGACAGGTGCCAAGACGAGAATGCCACACCGGTGGGATGTCGCCAACATAGCACCGTTCACCCCATCGGGACAGGCAGCCAAAGAAGGAAGCAGCACTGTGTACCCACCGGTTCTTAATGTGGGGGAAAAACTATCCATCACAAGGAACTAGTAAAGGCACCAGCCGGATTTATATCACGCTGACTTATGCAATGTCCTCCCCCATTTGTATATAATTTTATGTATAATTTGTATGCCTGATATACATTTCGATGTCATTTACTTTTTGTACCTAATGCCATGTCATAGGTTAGCCATCTAGTCTGCAGACCGCGGCAGCTCAAAAATACTTACCACTTAACACACAGAGACCGCACGACACTCCGACCTCGCAGACCCTTCAACCTGGCACAACCTACAGGGCACCTAGGCGACACCTTAAGGCCAAAGACACAAGTGGCACATACCTACACTGCGAAAAACACGCCTCCCCCCCCGACTCCGGGGTTAAGGAGCCTTAATATATGTAAGCCCCTATAATGCCTCTAGCCGCCAAACTGGAGATCCAGAACCAGAAACCTAGACCCAGGCTTAACTCACCTAACTTGAAAAATGCACACAAAGCATCTCTACGCATATGTTTAATTATAGCGCCTGAGCCTGGAAGTGCTGCTGTTTCCCCTACATGTTAGCCTCCTTTGCTCACTAATCTAGCACCTGATATCACAGCAGATACGCCAACATGCCTGTTTCAGCCGGTTACTAATCTATCTTGAGTTTTTAAATTATGGCACTAAACTTAGGCGCTGTAGCACTTACATATATACCTAACCTGTTACAGTTTAGCGCTTTCCGAACCAGAGGCAGAATCACTCGCCTGTACACTATCACACTATTAACAAGCCATCACAGTGTACTATGCCTGTCTTTATCATTAAAAAATTGTGCAGTCTACTCTTTTTAGACATGTAACCTTGGACATCTCCTCAGTTACCAAGCAATGTCGTGATCACTGAAATCCTGTATTTTATTTTTATGCACAAAAAAAATAAAGAATAAAAAAAATAATTAAAAAAAATTTGTTATTTATAGACACAGCTTTATCTTTTATAGATCTTCAATTTTTTATTAAGACGTCACATTCTGTTGTAATTTGTTTATAAAAATATAATAATTTTTGTTATCACATTTATTCCTCTCTCATTAGTTCATGCTCCCGCAATCCCAGTCATCTCTTTGACACCTTTAACTCTCTTCTTCGCCCTGCTGTGGCCACCCCCCAAACTAACCTTACGGCCGATAGCTTTGCATGCTACTTTACCGACAAGATTGAACAGCTAAGGAAATAATTCTCCCCACCTTGCCATTCTCTTTCTCAACCACACATAGATCATGCCTTTCCTACCCTTCAGACTTTCTCCTCGGCTACTGAACAAGAGGTGGCTGCGCTTCTGCTTTTCTCTCGCCCCACCACTTGCCCGCTTGATCCTGTCACATCTCACCTTATCAGATCTCTCTCCCCCTGTCTTGTGCCTCCCTTAACACGCATCTTCAACTGCTCTCTCTCTTCTGGCGTTGTTCCTGCTGACCTTAAACATGCCACTGTAGTACCTATCCTGAAAAAACATCTCTTGACCCGTCCTCCCCCTCTAACTATCGTCCCCTATCCCTGCTCTCTTTTTCCTCAAAGCTTCTGGAAAGACTTATCTTTACCCGTATGTCTCACTTCCTCAATTCTAACTCTCTCCTTGTCCTTCTACAATATGGCTTCAGCCCTCTCCACTTTTCTGAGATTGCTTTTATCAAAGTTACTAACGACCTAATTGCAGCTAAATCCAAAGGCCACTACTCCATACTAATTCTTCTTGACCTCTCTTCTGACTTTGACAACGTTGATCATGCTCTCCTTCTTCAAACTCTTTAATCACTCGGTCTCTGTGACTCTGTCCTCTCGTGGTTTTCCTCTTATCTCTCTCAACGCTCATTGTCTCCTTTTCTAATGATACCTCCTCCCCTCGTCCTGTCTCAGTTGGAGTCCCCCAATGCTCTGCCCTTCTATTTTCTCTTCATACTGCCTCTCTTGTCAAACTCGTTACCTCATTTGGATTCCACTACCACCTCTATGCTGATGACACCCAGATATATCACTACTCCCCGGACCTCTTCCCTGCCGTCCTGCAACGTGTCACTGCTTGCCTTTCTTCCATCTCTGACTGGATGTCCTCCCGCTTTCTGAAACTCAATCTCTCTAAAACTGAGCTCTTTATCTTTCCTCCTCCTAATACTGATCCTCCTCTTTCACTCTCCCTTCAAGTTAGTGGTATCCACATAAGTCCATCCTTGCAAACGATCTGTCTTGGCATCATACTTGATTCTGGCCTCACCTTTGAGCCTCACATCCAGTATGTTTCCAAATCCTGGAGATTCCATCTTAAAAACATAGCATCCGCCCCTTTCTTACACAAGATGCTACCAATGAGCTTGTTTATGCTCTAGTAATTTCCCGCATGGATTATTGTAACCCTCTCCTAATTGGTCTTCCCAAAAGCTGTATTGCCTAGCAACAGTCTGTATTGAATGCTGCCGCAAGACGGATTTTCGTCTCTAGTCGGTCCTTTCAAACATAACCCCTCTGTCAGTCCTTACATTGGCTTCCTGTATCCTATAGGAGTCAATTCAAAGTGCTTACCCATACCTATAAAGCACTGAACAATTCTAGCCCCTCTTATATCTCTTCACAGATCTATAGGTATGCCCCTTCTCGTCAGTCTGCTCTGACGTGACCTTCTCCTGTCCGCTGCTCGCACCCGTATGGCCAACTCACACTTTCAGGACTTTTCCCTAGTCTTCAATTGTTTAAGAAGTGCCTTAAAACCCATCTCTTTAGGAAAGCTCCCAGAGTAACCTCTGCCTTACATACCTGTCTCTTGTTCTCTCCTAAATGGCAGCATTTTACTCTCTCCTCCCACCTTAGTTGATTGCTATTTCCTGTCCTAATGTGTTCTACACCCCACCTCCTATAGACTGTAAGCTCGTTTGAGCAGGGTCCTCTTCAACCTATCGTTCCTGTAAGTTTTCTTGTATAGACCTATTAATAGTTAAATCCCCCCTCTCATAATATTGTAAAGCGCTACGGAATCTGTTGGTGCTATATAAATGGCAGTAATAATAATTCATTTGATGTACCATAGTATACACATTTCTTCTAAACATTGCAAACAAAGATAATCATAGATTTTAGTGAGTAGAGCAGGAACCTCCCTACATACATTTCTCCTGATTTCTGTCAAAAATCTGTTACCTAAGAGGATTTTCACACTTGCAGGAGGGGGTATAGAAGGCTCTAAGGTTGATGTCCTGTTAGTGATGTCAGCATCATAAAGGAGGCTTGCTCTTATTGGGGAAGTGTCTCCAAGCATGGCCAATCACAACAGAGAGGGGGGGGGGCAATGTATGTTATTTTGAAATATATTGCATTGATATACACAGAGTTGAGTGAAAAGGTTTTTAATATACAATCTGGATACCAGAATCCACAATAAACTACTTGTAACAGAGCTCCAGTACTCCAGTTGAGTACCTCCGTCAAAGTTACCTCATGCTGGACTAGAAAGCGCTGAAGTGACTATAGCGCTTTTCCGAAACACTAGATACTTAGTGAAGGGGTAAAACAACTACATTCTATTGGGACAAAGGGACGTATTTATAGGGAGAATCACAACGGAGGGGTCATCAATGGTGACAATAAATTTCCTCCCTGGTGCAGCTGTGTGTGAGGAATACCCTCATATTGCAACCCTCACACACACTACTGCCCCTATCCCCTTCTACAGCCCCTATCCTGGCAGATTCCAGGTAAGTTGTCAAACTGTTCTTAAACAGTTTGACTGCTTACTCTGGGAGGGCACTACTGGTACCGTAACCACTACAAAGTGCTGTAGTGGTTATTGTGCCTGGATTGTTTCTTTAAATAATCTACCAGTGCCCCTCCCAAAATTAGGTTCTGGATCTACGCTTGAACAGCGAGCATTTCTGCCGAACAGGGGCCCAGTATATGCCGCTGCGCTGTACATATATAAAGCCTAGAATTTTTTTTGACTTGGGACGCCTTGGAAAAATTTTAAAATATTAAGGGCACCTTGAACCTAAAAAGTTTGGGAACCACTGGGACACACTAAATGGAGATAAGAAAGAAAAGGTGGATTAAGAGGCACACAGGTGAAGATGTGGGGTGGGAGGGCACCAAAATCATCTTCGCCTGTGTACCCGAAAATCCTTGCACCGGCCCTGACTAATCCGAGACTGGTTGCGGCTGCCCTGATCTCATAGAACAATCCCAGGGCTGGAAAATAGAGCACACCGCTGCATGTGGAGTGGATGGAACAGAGGAAAGAGTCAAGGAGAGTAATTATGCTCTTATAACGGGAGTTAGATGTTGAGTCCTGCACCCGTTGAATCGTGATTGTAGTACCCTCCTTCAAACTGCTGAAACTTTTTACAGTAGCAGAGAATTTTTTATCCAACATATTGTAGCATGACTCGGATGTTTAGTATAGTGTAGGTGCCCTTGAAGGCACGTTCTGGGGCAAATTCTTAGGGGCTGTATCTCTCCCTCTTCAATTTCTCTTTCTGCTGTCAATTGTTTCTACCATTAGTCCTGCTACTTCTATATCTGGTTCTGATACAAATTAATACTGACTTTACACTGTGTGTCCTGCTTTGGATACTTACTATTTGTTTTATGTAGAAACTGAGTCTTTATTTCTCTGCTACTAGAGTAACATCAAACAACATATATATGAAAGGAAAGGCTTACATGCATTTGATTAAAGTGTTATTGATTACAATGGTAGTTTTTTAAATTATATTCTGATATTATAATCATAAAATTTGATAATTGTTATATTTTAATATTTACTTTTGTAGATTGCTTTCCCTTTTTTCATGTTGTATTTACCCTTCTTTATACATTTATTACTCTAGCATAATTTTTAATAATATATTGACACAATGATTCCTTTAAATACATATAATTACAAAAGTTGTCATTTTAATAAAATAAAAACATGTTTCATAATACTTGAGAAAAAAGTATAGTGTATTACACTATATTCAGCCTGTTCTTTTCCAGATATTCTCATTAGGTTCATATATTGTATTACACCCAACCCGCCTTCAATTCACACAGGTTGTATTGCATTTTATGATCACATTTATATTTCACATTTGGGATAACATCTGTAGGTATTAGAAATCCTCCAGTTTTGTGTATTTTTTTTCCCCCCAAGTTGTTGGTGTTTTGAGGGAACACTTTAACATTTACTTTTTCTATTTTTCTGATATTTTGGCATATAGTGGTTATTAATTATTATGTTTCATAATACTGCCCATTACTGGCAGCAAATGTATATAAAAAACCCCATTTATGGTTATTTGTATTAAATATAATATTTGTGGTAATGGAAGGTCACATTTTCTTACAGACAAAGTTATTTTTAATTGTACAGTCAATGTCATTCCATAATCCTGATTTGATCTCAACACAGTTTTCTCTGCCGCCAGCGTTGTTAGGTTCATTTTGACTCCAGGAGCTGTAATGATAATAGATTTACCTTTAGGTTACATTTATTTTTGAAACTAATAATAAGAAAACATGAATAATTGTAGAAGTTTTTTTTTTTTTTTTTAAACTAGGTATTTAAAAATGATTAACCCATAAAAAGTATAGCAGCTGAACGAGGAAAGACACCTAGCGTATATAAAAATCAACAAATAATTAAAATGACTAGCAGCTCTACAAAAAGGAATAATAGACCAAAACCCAGGCAAATGTCTCTCTCTCTCTCTATATATATATATATATATATATACACACACACACACACACATACATATATATATATACACACACACATACATATATATACATACATATATACACACACACACACCTCAAAACAATAAAGAAGCACCAGTCACAAACATGCACATCGTAATTGCCTCAATACAACAATCCCAGCGTGTAAACAAAACAATACAATTTTAAACTTATACAGAATATCTGTGATGACTGTAACAAGTTTGGAGAAAAAGTGGAAAGTCTAATTAAATACATTTTAGTTCATCTAGCACTATTTCATTTGTCTCCCATGTTAAAATTAGTGTAGGAGTAGGACTGACCAATAGTGGAGTACTGTGACATAGTAGTAGGCTTAACATGATCTGACCTCACCCATGTGTCTTTGCCAAGTTAGATGATTTTAAGTAGCATTGTAAAATGTAAAACTGTAATTTTGTGCATGCACTGTTCCTTATTCTGTAGTTTTGTAACAAGTTTGTAGACAGTTTCCAAATGTTGTCTAAACGTAGTCTCTGCTGGACTAAAAATAGAGTTAGTGTTTCTGTAAGAGAATTGATTTCCTCATAAATTCTGTTAAAGAAATATGAACTCCATTTTTGGGACTTAAGGAGTGTAAGGAATTAATTAAGAAAAATGACAACTGAATAAATTGTTCCAAGATCTTTTAGCTAGAAAAAGGAAAAATAAATTGTGATTAAACAGATTTAAAAAATAAATAAAATAAATAACTCAATAAGGAATAATATCCCAAGTAGGAGTATATATATTTTTTTTTTTTATAAACATCGCTTAAATTAGAATACTCAGTAGCAAACGGTAGAAAAGAAAAGTAACCTTTTGGGAGACGTTGACACTAATTATAAGCTGCAAACGTATTCTAGGGATTAATTGTCCCCAGTTCCCACCATTGGGTTTACCACATGAAAATCAATCAGAGGAAAACAGTGGAATAGAAGGCTCAGCCGCTGGTACAGGCCTTCTCAGGTTGGGAAAGTGTCAGTCTTTCCCACCCGATCGGGCTGCTAGGCCTCACTGTCCTCACCAACAGCCGCTGCAATAGGCACTACTCCCCAGATTGGTTCCCCCAGTTAGCACTCCGCTAAGTCCACACCAGGGACAGATTGGGAGCAGTAAATGGCTAAAAGCCAGGCAGAAGCAAAGGCCAGATGAGGAACCCAGGCAGAACACGTCTGGTCGCCATGGGTGTCAGCCTCCCCAAGAGTATTTTTAATCTATTTAGTGTTGAACTAATGTGTCCTCAAGTTCATGTTTTAAAAAAGAGCTAAAATTTGCTCCTACAAATAAGGTGAACCATTTTGACAATGTTATGGGTATTAACCATTTTATGTGATCCTTAGCTATTCTTTTAACCCCTTAAGGACAAATGACATGATTCCATTTTATTCCAGAAGCTTGGTCCTTAAGGGGTTAAAGATTCCCTACTACAAAACACTATATTTCAAAATACTTTATTCAAAGAAAACTAAATTTTGTTTCCCTTTCATCAAATCAGTCCAGCAATGGAAACTTTCAACAAACTGATGCTGGCTGATTTAAAGATATCTACTTTTATTCCTAGAGATAAACATAATTTAACATCCCATGAAAGCTCTAGAGGAGCTTATAATAATAATAATAACAACAACAACAACAACAGGAGTGATAAAAACCTACCGATAACGGCACATAAAAATATAGCTTTCATTTTTTTATTTTTATATATCTTTTATTTTTTTTGTTTTCTAAAGTAACAATTTCCATATTTCACAGTAGTATTCATATACTGTATGCTAGCCATATATAATTAACATATATTAATACAAAGTAGTTGTATATAAATAACTAATACAAAGAAAAAACATCCAGTGAAGTGGACATTAAATTGTATATTAGATATTTACCCATCCCTACCCACTTTGCCCATTGCTGTCAATAGGGGAGTTGCCGCTCTGTTATTTCCTAACCTTGATTTTCTTATCTACCGTATACTGTATTTTTCTGCTCTGGCTTCAATACAGCTTTACATTTAATAAGGCTACTGAGGTGAAGATGTGTCAGGTGGTCTTAATAAGACAGGCACTTGGGAGCCAGCAGAGTATCACACAGGGACTGGGAGGCAGATTGGTGGCAGACACTTCAAGGTACAGCTGTGCCTGCCTCCATTACTGAGATCTAAACCAGAGTGATTCCCCACTGCAGGCTGACTCTCTCCTTTCTCCTACAGCAGTGCCTACCACATGGCTTCCTTGCTCCCCCCTGTAAGTCTGGCAAGCACCTCACAGACAGTGGTGCCTGATACTTGTCTTCCAGCTCACCCAGGCACCTCACTGACAGTGGTGCTTGCTACCTGGTCCACCAGCTGCCCCCTACACACTAATGTACGGCAGGCTCACAGTGTTTGAAGAGATGCCTGCCTCACTTTAGTGTTAATTAGAGCAGCATCACAGCCACACAGGGACAGGCACCACTCCAATAGCAGGTACCAGTCACTTAAGCAGTCAGGATGCTGGCAGGCCGCTAATTTTTTTTAAATTTTTTTTTTTTGTTAAAATGTATTTTAGTTATAACATTTTCCCCTAAAGAGGGAATGTTTAATATCTAAAAATCTGTTGGCAGAGCCAAAGTATATAAATATATAGATATATTTTTTTTTTCTAGAGAAATTCTATCTAGCTATCATTTTAAAGAGATACTATAGGCATTGCAGTACTAAGACAGCCTCTAGTGGCTGTCTACCAGACTCTGTCTACTAAACTACCAGTCTATTAGGCTGGATTCTGGGTCCCTTAAGCGACACTGGACATCCTCACCCTTAGGAAAGCACTTTGTCAATGCTTTCATATGGGGAGGGCTTAATGCACTCACGGTGCTCACAATGCATGCGCATTAGATCCCCCTAGTAGGATGATGCCGGAAAATGTTATATTATTATTATATTTATATAGCGCCAACAAATTCTGTATCGCTTAACAGTGGGGGGACGAACAGACGTAGTTGTAACCAGACAAGATTGACACACAGGAACAGAGGGGTTGAGGGCCCTGCTCAATGAGTTTACATGCTAGAGGGAGTGGGGTAAAGTGACACAAAAGGTAAGGACCAACCCAGCACAGAGGGAGATCGACGCTGGAGTCGGGTGAGTAAATAATGGGTTTTTAATCGAAAGAGGGGGAATCCAAAGGGCACTAGTGTTAAGAATACAACTTTGTATCCATAACACTCTAATCCCCTTAAGGTAAAATTATTTTAAAAGTAATCCTTTGGTGGCATCTTGTGGCTAAATTCGGAATTACATGTTACATTACAAGTTATTCAACTCATTAATAAGAATATGTCTGTATGGTTCATTCCCCATTTATGGGATTGTCCATGTATTTTGAAGGTTGTAGTGCCATATAGACATATTCCTATTCATGAAAAACATTAATGTTTCCAGTCTGAGGCCCCACCAACTTGAAATCCAGTCACCAGTCGCCACTGTATTCTGGCTCTTTGATATTACATTTATCACTTATTTGTATCAGTCATTTAAATTGAACATTCATTTTTATTATAAGAATACTTACCTTTAAGCTGTATATGAACAAATAAAACAAATACATGTAGTGAGAGAGAGAGAAAGTAAAATGATGGTTTCTATTTAGAGAAGCAAGAAAAAATATTACTGATATTAATATCTATCAAACAAATGTATTACACTGAACTTCACCATAGCTCCCAACATTTCAAATTAATTGACAAAAGGGACACTTTCATTTTAAGGATGTGAATGGAGGTGTGGCTAGGGATGGCATGTTCTGAGAAATTTCAAGTGACATACTAATAAAAATTTATGAAATTAAAATGTAATTTAGAACAAGAACAATGTATCTTATTTACACAAACTGATTTCTAAAAAAAAAAAAAACATTTATTGTAGTTTAAAGACATATTATTGTGAGTATTATTG